GACATTCTGGTCCGATAAATACGACCAGACAGACAACGTGAGGACATGGCGTAAGACTGCTTGGAGGTCAAGGATCGATAACTAGTGCTGAAAATTAATTTTGTCCTCCTATTTGCATAATAAATAATTGACTCGATCTAGTGACCTTAATATATTTCCTTTTTCTAAAATTTTAGCTTGATCAGCTTGTTGCAGTGGTTAGAAACTAGAAACTCTTAGAATGTTGAGTTTTGGAGATGTGAAGTAAGGAACTGCGGGACTGAGACACGGCCCTTCGGACGAGATCATATAAACTGAGGGACCGTGTCCCAGTTCAGATGCTGGCAGGAAATGGCCATAAGTGTCGAGTAAACTTTTTATGACGTCGAGCTCTTGGAGCTCGAACGTCATCTAGCAAGCGCCCAGTTGAAATCGCGACCGGATATGTACGCGACCGAATGTGTCAGTCGATGCATCCGCAATAGAAAATAGCAATAGCTATAAACCAATTTCTTTGAAAACGCTCAAAATGAATAATACCTTGAAAATAAAATTGCATCAATTATATCTGCAATTAATTCTATTGCAAAACAACAATATTATGTTTTATTCTCACATAAGAAAAACGTGATGGTTGTTGCGGATGAATTTCTACACTAAGGGTGCGTTGAATGACATGAATAACATGGCAGTGTCTATATGCACGACCGTCGTGCACTTACTTTTACATCGGCTATTCGCACGACCGTCGTGTATATAATTTTTCAATGACTATTTGCACGACCGTCGTGTATATAATTTTTCATTGACTATTTGCACAACCGTCGGGTATTGTATTTATTTATCAGCTGTTCGCACGACCATTATCTTTTACATAACACACCAACTTATTATGTCATTCGTTGCTTCGTCCCCAGTTAAGTTCGGCACGCAGTGATTTAACTGATTTAAGCCTAGAAGCATTTTAGTAAGAAAACATTAGAAAAACTTTTTTATAATGTTAATTTATATGCTAAAGTGACATATAGATCCAATGGGCCGGTCGGTGTAATGTAAATCTGTTTCTATTAGAACTGCCCTTGTAAACGTCACTGTCTCTCTTATAACATGTATAATGTATAGTGGGGTATTTTTTATGTGGAACGATTATTTAGGGGTTTTCACGAGTTTTTCCTATTGTACACATGATGAATAAGTGTAATAAATATAATTTGTGAAAAAAAAATGTCCAACAAGCCCCGGGGTTGAATATCGGGGGGGGGGGGGGGGTCCTGTCCACAAGTACCTGTGACTATAACAAAATGTTTACCTACTATTCTGATAGGCTTGCGGTTTACCCTCTCCACCTCAACCTAGTCCGAGATATCTGACGTTTTCCAGGCATTTTTTTTTTTTAAGCAATTTTGATATTTGATGTTCCACCAATTAAAAAGAGCCATAGAACATTGAATAAGCATTTTTCCTTCTTTAGTAGTGATTTCTTAAATACACTTTTTAACCAAAATTTTGTCATATAACCTTAGTTATTACACACGTGTAATCTCAAATTAAACAATAATGATATTCATATGTTAATACATATTGTAGTTCCCTTGTATAATAATTATAAAAATCATCAAGTTTGTATGGAGTATGCAAGTAAATATTGAGGTATATCTACCTAAAAGATGACAAACTGTTGACAAAGACCACTCCTAACTAGAAAAACAACATTTGAATAATTTTGTTTATGACGGCACTTTATTTTGGTTAAGGTGAACATTTATATATATATATTCATTTTTCCTCTCATATTATTTTAAGATTTGGCAATCTGTCTTAAATTTATCATTCATTATCAATGACTTCGTGGCGCAGTGGTATGATTGCTGAAATGTAAATGTGGTGATTCGAGTTTGACCTCAAGATTTTTCCAGTTGAAAATAAAACACTCGTCCGCAAATGATATTACATTGGTTGAAAGTACTGCTCACGTTCAATTTTTTTTATGTCATCAATTTGGTCATCAATATATCATCGAAATTCCATGGCAGATCCAGAATATAACATGTGTGAGTGCACTGTGTGGTTGAGGGCCGAAAGGATGGTATAACCCAGTAATGTAACTTTTACCCCCCCCCCCCCCTCCTATCATCGCTAGCCAAGTGTGAAAGGTGAAAGTTAGTGTCTACCCCTGGTGATCTGCACATCTTCTCTTTTAGAACGGATGTTGAGTGATCAACCCACTTCCCAATTTTATTTTCGTTTCTAATCTTCATTATTATTATTATTATTATTTTTATAGATTTGTTTTCTTTTTCTATATGCCACTCTAATAAACTGCTTCATCTACATTTTTATGGAACTGATAGAAATTATATTACGATTCGGTTGTATTCTTCGGCACACTTGAATAGCTCATAATATACCCATCCTCTGGCTGATGCGTCCATATATTTTATACATGTATGTAAAATAATCTAAATTATCCACAAAAGAAGCTGTACCGTAAAAAGAAAAGGGTGTGAAAGGAAATGGTTGTGGACCATAATATTTAATTCAGTTTCAAATAGAAATATGTAAATGAAGTAGTCTGTAAACTTAAAGTATGAAAAGAATAGAAATAGAAAGACTTAAAGATGTGAGAGAGAACAATAAAGGGGGCACGATCGTGTGTCTCAGTCTATAGCCAGGCTAAAACTGATGCAGTGTGGTATTTATGTCCCCATCCTATTTCTAAACTTATGTATTTTACAATTCAGATAGGGGGTTACCCAAGAAAGCTTTTTTTATCTGAAGGTGGAGTGTAGATCTTACGCAGGTGTCAATCTCTCGTATGTTTTACTTTTTTTTTAACACGAAATAAAATTGAAAAAAAAGTTGAGGTAATTAAATATCAACATAAATGTAATATTTACTATCGTGTGAAACAATCAATTGCTTGCATTTCTATTTTAAAAAACTGTCAATGAAAAAAAAAAGAAGATTAGATGCACACATAAAGCCAGAAACGGACTCATCTCATCCTCACAAAATCAAAAGTTTAGCGATTTTGGAACTCCACACAAATCTGATCGGGATAGGATCTCTTTAAATTATCAATTAGTTTTTATTTTTATTTTACTAAATTCTTCCTATATCATATGTATATGTGTGTACAAGAAAAGTTGATATGAATGTTCATACTGGGACGGGATGTTTCGCACCAATTCTGTTTCACACTGAGATGGTTCGCGCCCGAATGATTCACGCCGATTTCGGCGCGAAACATCTCACGTTTTATTTTAAATATTTAATCACATTTTGATCCGTTTTAAATTATTTATCAAATATAAGATATGAATATGTTGTGTACTCTAATTCATGACTTAATAACATGCACTACTGCCATAGTTAATGGATCGTTCGGTGCCCGTTTGCTTAGCGTGTCTGTTCAACAATTCAACAGTGATTCAATGGGGATTTAGTTGTAATAAGTTGGAGATCAAAAGGTGAGAATTGAAGTTGATGTGTGGGTTGTCCAAGCCAGCAGTAATTACTTAATTAGATGGCGGTATTATAATTATCTACTGTATATATACGTAATTAGCACAGTGTTATAATAATTCATAATTATGCTATGTATGTACACTTCAAACTCAGACATAAATAATTTACGTCTCTGCTTCAAATATAATCTTCTTAAATTAAATAAAATGTTCCAAAAATATCTATATTTACATATATTTTAAAATCTAAAATTCTGTTAAATGAACTAAACTCAGTAGCAAAACAGAATAGGCGCGAAACATCGCGGAGCGAACCATACATAGGTGCGAAACATCCCGTTACCGCACAGGTCGGTCGTGTATATTATGGATAATAGCTATTACCGTCGTGTGCATATCTCTGGCAATGTGCGATTGCTATTTGCACGACCGTCGTGTAAATAGATTTTTTTCTTACCTATGTGCACGACGGTCGTGTATATATCTCAGCAATTTGCAATAGCTATTCGCACGACGGTCGTGTAAATAGACTTTCTTTTCTATGCGCACGACGGTCGTGTATATATCATCGGCCGAATAACATTTCGGAACGATAACCGTGTAACATAAACAACACAACAGGAGGCAAAATAATTACAAAATTACATAAACACGAATACTACAAGACTAAAAAGATTGAATTTCTAAATCTTAGCTTTACTTATACAATCTTCTAACCAACTCTATCCTAAAAACCGATGATATTGACCAGTATTACTGTATTTCTCCATTTCCTCCATTTCCCAGTATACCGTATACCACGCCCGATCGTAACTCGATCGTAATTGTAACAGAACAGAGTCTTGGTTGTAGTTTAGATGCAATCACTAATACAACGTTTTGACATTGGCAATTAGAAAAAATATTATATAAATTCATGAAATCCTTCATAGTTCATAATTGACTGAAAAGAATGTTTGGCATGAACAAGTTCGACGGTGTCTGGTCAATTCGAACCTTGCTCCATTCGGACCATGACATAAGGCCCCAGACTGTAATTGTGATATTTTGTTTAAAACTATTTTTTTATTATGTCTCCTGAGTCACTCACTTGACTTATCGCTATCTTCAAATTCAAAATTATCTTTTGAAATTGTTTTTCTTGTTCGACGTCATTGAAGCCTTTCAGGCTTTTGATTTCAAATTTGAAAAAGAAAAGAAATATGTAGAGGAAAACGGTTTAAAATTAAAAATACATAATTTGAATACAGAAGACGTATCAAAATATATTTTGAACATATAGAATCCTGAGTACTGTCAGTGTGCTATTTATTACCATTTGCAAAGCAAGAAAAAGGAAAGGTGCGATCGAGTCTCTAGGAAATTTTTGAATTTAAAATCATATTGATGAACGTGAAAGAAAGATTAAGAGCAAACTCGAAAGCTGATTTTTGATATTTGTGTGATTACTCACATATTCATTTTGCATATTTGCTCTTAATGAAGCATGCATAATTAACACATCTTGTAATTTTAATACAGTTTATTGATTCAGTAAGAAAAATGACTAAGAAATTAAAAAAAAAATATTTATTACAGTTCAGAAAACTGACAAAATATAAATAAAGGAAAACTATCCTTGGAAAAACAAAAACAAAAGGCCCATGGGCCACATCGCTCACCAGAGTTAATATGGCCCTGCTGTTCATCAGAAATTTTTTTCTCCTGAAAATTCCTATGTAAGGCTTTGATCCCCTGTTGTTGCCCCACCCTATCTCAGGTTTGAACAAACTTGAATCTAAACTATCTAAGGATGCTTCCCATATCAATATTACTAATCAAGGCTGTGGTGATCTTGAGAAGATTTTTAAAGATGTGGCCCAATCCTACCCCTAGGGGTCATGATTTGAACAAACTTGAATTTACACTACCTGAGGAGGCGTCCATATCAGTATAACTAATCATGGCTTTGGTGTTCTGAGAAGATTTTTTAATGATTTTTTCTTATATATTTCTGTGTAAAACTTTGATCCCACGTAGTGACCCTATCCTACCCCCGGTGGTCATGATTTGAACAAATTTGAATCTACTCTACCTGTGGATGCTTCCCATATCAATATGACTAATCATGTCTTCACTGTTCTTTTGAAAAGGATTTTAAAGAGTTTTTCTTATACTCCTATGTATAACTTTGATCCCCAGTATAGCCCTGCCCTACCCCTGGTGGTCATGATTAAAACAAACTTGCATCTACACTTCCTGATAATGTTTCCATATCAATATGACTAATCATGGTTTTGCTGATTTTTCGAAGATTTTTAAAGTTTTTTTTACCTTATATTCCTACGTAAAAAAAAAATTGAATCCCCATTGTAGCCCCACCCTACCCCCAAGGGTCATGATTTGAAAAAAAAAATTGAATTTACACTACCTGGGGATGCTTCCTTATCAATATGGATATTATGATTTTGTTGTTCTTTAGAAGATTTTAAAGATCCTTTTCCTCTATATTCCTATTTAAAACTTTGATCCCCCGTTGTGCCCCAACATATTCCCGGGGGTCATGATTTGAATAAATTTGAATCTACACTATGTAATGAAGGTTTCACTTAAGATTCAACTTTTCTGGCCCAGCGATTCTTGAAAAGAAGAGTTTTAAAAAAAGATGCCACCAAATTTTCACTGATTCTTAATTATCTCCCCTTGAATGAGGACGTGGCCCTTCATTTGAATAAAATTAAATTCCCTTTACTTAAGAATACTTTATGCAAAGTTTGGTTGAAATTGAACCAGTGGTTCTGGAGAAGAACTCGATAATGTGAAAAGTTTACAGACAAACGGATGGACGGACAGACGGACGCCGGACAAAATTTGATCAGAAAAGCTCAGTTAAGCTTTCAGCTCATGTGAAATAAAAAATCATAATACTAGTAATGTCCACCGACATTTGGGCATCTGTTTTGAGTACAACCCAGGCACTTGTATCCTTGATACGTGAGTACAGTTTCCCTCCGACAATCTGGTCTGATAGATAGCGCCGGGCAGGCAATGTGAGGGCACGGTCTAAGTCTGGAGGGAGGTTGAGGATCGACATCTGACTCTGAAATATTTAGAAGAGACGCATATTTACTCATTTGCTTGGTTCAGCTTGAATGTGAACAAAATGTAACATATCCCAATTGCAGATATTTGACATGAAAACAATAATTTGCATTGATTATTTTAAAACTTTGACAAATTTAAAATTCTCTCGAGCCCGCCATTACAAAGATGGCCGCTTATTTTGAAAGTTTAAAAAAAATCATGATTATTAATAGGTCTGAATTAAAATTTTCATTTAATACCTGGACAACACACAGCGAATTTGTTTCCCCGGGTGCAGCTGTACCCAGCAGGGCAGCTTTGTGTGTGACATGATACAACATTGCCACTTTGTTGGAATGGATTTCCTCTGGAACATGGATTATTATCTGTAAAAAAAAATATACAAATAGGAAAAAAATTATGAAAAAAAAAATATCACTTTGTTGTGTCAAATACCAGTGTTCTGCAAAAAGCAGAAAGACGAAGATTGTACAAAAACGTTACCAAATAACAATTTCTTATGTCATTTACCGTTGTAACAACATATTCTTTATGATTAAAAAGATCCATTTCAATTTTATAATCATTATTCATACGCCGTTTCCTATATACATCTATACTTAACTATAAATGCAGTAAATGCATGGATCTTAAGAAATCATATCATGTTGCAGAAAAATAAATTAACTTCGTAACGTTTTTGTTTTAAATTGCAAAGCACTCATGTAGATCTGACAATGAACTAGAACTTTCCTAAAATTACCAGGAAACCAAAGTTGATATATTTTGGTTGTGCCTCAGATAACTAAGACCATGTTTTTCGATATAACCAAATGAATTAAACCAGAATTGTTGATTCAGTTCAAAAGAATTTATCTACTATAATGATAATCCAGGATTTTTTTTTCTTTTTCAAATAAGGTGTAACACTGAATATTTTTGAGTGACATCTTTACACAAACTTTAATTACATGAATATATACAATGTATCTATTGCTGAGGATTATTAACTTTTTTAAACTGAAAATTATCTTCCATAACGATTAACTGACTTGAAAACAAAGATAAAAACACAATTATTTTAATTTTCAAAGAAAAATCAGTACAGGACAGTTCTATACTAATAGGTCAACTTCAGGTTTATTTCAATAATATTGAACCCTGTTTCAGCATAAAGTTCCGCAACATTGCCTTATGACCGCAGGCATATCGAAACTGTTGTAAAATGTTAACAATACCAGATTTGTGGATAATTCTTTTTTTCTTTTTTTTTTCGAACTTCACTGATATTTATATCATCCAATCGGTTAATTGCAGCAACTTTTTTTTGTTATATTGTAGTACCCTGAATTGATCCTTTTATCCTAGAATGACTGATACGCAGAATTTGAATAATCATTTCTAGTACATGTTATACACATGATGACCATTTATAAAGAATCAAATTGACTACACCGTTTGATTTGAAAATTGAATTACTAAAATTTAAAACCTACCTAAACAACACTGGCCAAATCCATAGATAGAAGTGGTGCAGCTAAACCCTGGTGCACAGTCATTGGGTACGTTAGAGAAGGTCAATTTTAGACATAGACCGTACTGATCTAGCTGACGACCGAATTCACAATTCGTACGTGAGCCATAACCATCAGGAAAAGGTATGGGGTGGATTGGACCAGGCTGATCAGTAGGAAGTGGCTCAGCTGGCCTTCGTCTTACTGGGCGATAACCGGGACCTTGTAAATTAAAAAAAATATTTTTCACTTTCTCAGTTTTAATTTTTTCTCGAAATTTTTATAACTAATTCATGAAATTTTTAATATTTTTCATGAATTAGAATGTACAATTTACATGTAAATATACATGTGTATCTCATGAAAAGACATCATATACATGTACTGTAAATTGGTACGAATCACAAGTATAAGCTCTTGTGAGCTAGATAATATAATTTGTAATCTATATAATGTATCATATAAAAATAATAATCTGTCTTATCTTTTAGGAGCAGCAAGAATGGGGGGAAATGTAAAATTACGATACTGTTAACTTTACCGTAAAATATTAAATTTAAGAGGATTAGTTTCGCGAAAAACGAACGCAATGGTAGAAATATATTTATATTCACAAGATATCAATGTTTCATTTCTCGATGATAAATCATTAAAATTATCTACATAAAGCGAGAAAACTCACCGTAATTGATAGCTGCTTGAATGGAAGAGACAGAGAAAAGTACGCTACACAAATAAAAGATCATTTTGATCATTTCTTTGTTTCACGAAATAAATGTCCCTTTATATCAGGTGCTCAGTTAAAATTGCGGGAAAGCATGCGTAATTTCTTGTTTAAGATTTTCAAAAAAGCATGCATATATGCAAACAAAGGACCCTAGGATTGCCTTTTAAACATGTTTTTATGATTAATTAATATTAATTTACCAACAAACCATTGTCACTTTTACAATAGTGCAACTTAATTATCATGCAGTCATATCAAGGGATTCCCCCGCCTATACGACACATTAATTACTTATTTATTACATATGTTGGTTATTCTTTCTTCCAGAAAATTAATTAATATTTTACATTTAATATTAAAAATTGTTTCATTATATTTATACCCCCGCTCCGAAGGAGAGGGGGGTATACTGTTTTACCCTTGTGTGTCTGTCTGTCTGTCCGTCTATCTGTCTGTCTGTCTTTCCGTCTATCTGTCTGTGTGTCTGTCTGTCCGTAACAAAATCTTCGTCACAGTTTTCTCAGGAACTACTCATCGCAGATGCTTGAAATTTCAGCACACACTTTATTGAGGCATGCCATATGGTGGGATTCATTTTTGTACGACCGATGTCAACTTCCTGTTTATCCGTGCGTCTGTCCGTACCATACAGAACAAATTTTGGTCGCAGTTTTCTCAGCAACTACTCATCGCAGATACTTGAAATTTTAGAACATTCTTTGTTTAGGCATGCCATATGGTGGGATTCATTTTTGTATGAATCCGATGTCAACTTCCTGTTCACCCGTGCGTCTGTCCGTACCACACAGAACAAATTTTGGTCACAGTTTTCTCAGCAACAACTGATTGCAGGTGTTTGACATTTTATCACACTCTTTGTTTAGGCATGCCATATGGTGGGATTCATTTTTGTATGAATCCGATGTCAACTTCCTGTTCATCCGTGCGTCTGTCCGTACCATACAGAACAAATTTTGGTCACAGTTTTCTCAGCAACAACTGATTGCAGATGTTTGACATTTTATCACACTCTTTGTTTAGGCATGCCATATGGTGGGATTCATTTTTGTACGAATCCGATGTCAACTTCCTGTTTATCCGTGCGTCTGTCCGTACCTACAGAACAAATTTTGGTCGCAGTTTTCTCAGCAACTACTAATTGAAGATGCTTGAAATTTTAGCACACTATTTGTTTAGGCCTGCAATATGGTGGGATTCATTTTTGTATGATTCTGATGTCAACTTCTTGTTCATCCTTGTGTCTGTCCATAACTGAACTTGTGTACATTCACACCAAAGCGGGGGTATTACTAGTGAGCAATGGCTCACAGACTTCTTGTTTTCGAATTAGTAAGATATGAAATACATTTCATACATCTGCTTAAGATACTGAGTGTAATTACGCATTTACGTGTTGCTAATTACATATTATAATATTGTAAAACAAGAGGCCCAAGGCCTTAACAGTCACCTGAGTATAATACAACAATTTAAAGAAAATAAACTGATAGATGAAGCTAAGTTGCTCAAAAGCCAGAAAAATAGAATGATTAGGATCAACGAAATAACTAGTCTAGTATTCAGTGACAACTCATAAATTAAGTTTAAATTCATTTATCACTAATCACCATGTAGACTATTATCAAACTATTAGTGCTTCCGTTCTATTTTTAACCTCATATCACAACCCCTCACATATCTACCTGATCATTTAAACTATTAAAGTACTCATTGTATTAAACAATAAAAATTCTTGCATAATTCAATTATTCTTTTAACCTTTCAAATACATTATTTACAGTGATTAATTATCAAAAGTGAATGGCAAAGGGGAATAACTTCTCTCCGTAGAATAAAAATTAATAGAGCCCTGGCCAGGACCAGGACACTTGACCAGAAGGTCCAGGTGTTCAAAAATCTGGTGAAAATACCCTTGCTTATTGAAATACACTGTTTGCCTCCGATATGCCCAGGAGCAGAGAAGATTTTCAAAGAAATAATGCATTTTTACTACAGATTCAAAAAAGTCCTACCTTATTCTCTTTAGAGAAGTGGACATGTAGGCTAAAACCTGTCCACTTCTCTAAACAGAATAAGCCCTACCTTAACACCAGAACTCATGATCCAGGGTCATGAAATTCACAAATTTGGAAGAGGTATCCTTATCATCATAAATATGCAATTAGTTGAAGATTTTCAAAGAATTAACACATTTTCATTTATATTATCAATAGAGCCCCCCCCCCCCCCCCGACAAACACCAGAACCCCTGACCCTGGGACCACAAGTTTTAAAATCTTGTAAGAAGCACCCTTACTCATCATAACTATGTACTTTGTGTATCTGCTCAACAGCAAGGAGCAGACAGGATTATTTATTACAATTAACGCATTTTAACTATATTATCAATAGAGCCCCGCCCTAACACCAGAACCCCTGACCCCAGGGCCATGAAATTCACAATTTGAAAAGAGGCACTCTTAATCATCATAACTGTGTACTTCGTTAGTCTGTTAGTTACCCAGAAGCAGAGAAGAAGATTTTTCAAAGATTTAATGCTTTTTCACTATATAATCAATAGAGCCCCGCCCTAGCACCAGAACCCCTGACCCAGGAGCGATGAATTTCACAATTTCTGAAGAGACACCCTTGTTCATCATAATTATGCACTTAGTTAGTCTGTTTAATACCCAGGAGTAGAGAAAAAGATTGGGGGTATGATTTTAACAAACATGAATTTACACTAAGAATGCTTACATATTTCTGTGACTAACTGTGGCTTTTTTCCCTACAAGTTCGAACTTTCATTGTGGTCCCACCCTACCCCCGGGGGTCATGATTTGAACAAATCTGAATCTACACTATCTGAGGATGCTTCCATATAAATATGACCAATCATGGCTTTGCCGTTCTTGAGAAGATTAAAAAAAATCCTATTTATTCCTTTGTATAACTTTGATCATAAATTGTGGCCCACCCTATCCCCAGGGGGTCATGATTTGAACAAACATGAATCTACACTACCTAAGGATACTTCCGAATAGTTAATATAAATAATAACCAATTATGACTTTGATGTTCTTGAGAGGAAAATTTTTCTTGTATACTCCTATATAAAACTTTGATCGTTCATTGTGGCCCCACCCTAGCCCCGGGATCATGATTTATACAAACTTAAATCTACACTACCTGGGGATGCTTCTATATAAATATGACTAATCATGGCTTTGCTGTTCCTTAGAAGACGATTTTTAGACTTTTCCTATATATTCCTTTGTAAAACTTTGATCGTCCATTGTGCCCCAACCCTTACCCCGGGGGTCATGATTTATACAATCTTGAATCAACACTATCTGAGGATGCTTCCATATAGAAGTAACCAATCATGGCTTTACTGTTCTTGTGAAGATGATTTTTAAAGATTTTTCCTATATTCCTATGCAAATTTTGATCGTCCATTGTGGCCCTATCTTACCATCATGATTTGAACAAACTTGAATCTACACTATCTGAGGACGATTCCACATTAGTTTCATTTATAATTGCCCAGCGGTTCTTGAGAAGTAGATTTTTAAAGGATGCAATTGATTTTTCACTAATTTGTATTTATCTCCCCTTGGAAGAGGATGTGACCCTTCATTTGAACAAACTTTCAAGAATACCATTTATCCAAGTTTGGTTGAAATTGGCCCAGTGCTTCTGGAGAAGAAGATGAAACGTTAACGACAACTACAAAGACGACAGACAACAGACAAATTTCGATCAGAAAAGCTCACTTGAGCCTTCGGCTCAGGTGAGCTAAAAATGTTGAAGCAATGTAATGTCCACAGTTATCAGGCGGTGCAACTGCAATTATATAAAATATATCGTTTTCGACTAATACATAAAAATATCTCTTTTTATGTATCAGTCGAAAACGATATATTTAAAAACAGCTTATAGAGACAAAAGGGTTACATTATCGATAACATATTGTGCATGGTAGAATAGAAAAATAGGAAAAAGGTGACTTGATCCCTGATTCAAAAAGAAAAAATGGAAAGGGACGGGGGGTGGGTGGGTCATGCCCCAAGTCTCTTTTTATGTATCAGTCGAATATAAATATTTAAAAACAGCTTATAGAGACAAAATAGTTACATTATCGATAACATATAATGCATGGTAGAATACAAAAATAGGAAAAAGGTGACTCGATCCCAGATTTAAAAAGAACAAAAAATGGAAAAGGGAGAGGGGTTCCATACCCCAAGTGCCTGTGTCAAGATCGCGATATTGATAATGTTGACTTTAAACGAGGTCATTGAAAACCCTGTAACATCAACTTATTTGCCCGTAGCCTGTCTCGATTAAGAAAAATGGTCCTACTCAGAAGATGCTCTTGAGTATCGAGTAAGTTGTGAGACAAATACACATGCAGCTTAGTATACATAAATAAGGGAAGTTGACGATGGAAAAGTTTCATCCCATTTGTTATATAGCTTAGTTGTAAGTTTGCCATTAATTAACATCTATAGTCCATAAAACATCTAACAACTTTGTGGTGTTTGCTGGGATATATTGAGTCGACATCTGGAAGTAAATAACTAATATTTATTGATAAAACGTCGTGGCTATATTCAAATGTCGAATTGAAGGCAAGATTGTTGGAAGACCTGGTCTCCATAGACTACATAAATACATGTATTCTGAATGAGGAATCAATTTTAACTTAGACTGCTTGTGTGTACAATCAGAAAGTGTTTAAAAAGTAATTTTGTACCTTAGATGACCATTTGCAAGATTTAAAAATTTCATTTCCCCGTTTTCCTGAAAATACAGCCATGAGGGCAGGTGTGACCAGTCGACAGGGAACGCTTCCCCCTCCTCCTAGGCACCTGATCCCACCTCGGATGTTTCCAGGGGTTCGTGTTTTTTTAAAAAAAAACAAAACAATTTTTATTGCTTAATTTATGAGATCGATCACTGTTCGTTAGTTTTATCATTTCATTAAAGAAGCAAGATCATGGAATTAATAAGTATAAAGAAATTACATCCATACCCGAAATTATTGAGAAGAGGGTAGTTACTAGTAAACAGACATATCCTCTGGATTTTTAGATATATTATGTTTCAAAAATCATGAAAATTGTATATAAAGCCTCTGTTGAAATTTAAAAAAAAAAACACTGTGAATGATTTTCCCCTTGACTCTATTGCCTGGGAATTTGAATTCCTATGACATACCCGGGTAAGAGATAATATTAATCAATAATGTATCTCTACATTTTCCAGATCAGGGAAAAGGTTTTTTTTTTTTTTACAGTATGTGTACTCTTTATATCGGTATAAATAGTCTACCAATATTTAATGGCTACCAATATTTAATTTGATTAAAAAAAAAAATACAGCATAAATACCGATTTCCTTTACATACTAGTACATGTGTATATGTTAATCAACAAAGTTTTAATTAATTATAATTAGTTAGTAGTTTCATGATGGGCTTCCTATTTGAGATATATAAAATTAATTATTGATAATGTGCTGAGCTAAATTTCACTCGTAACTTTACAAATCTTCATCATTTAAAAAAATGTGATAATACATGGTGTATTTATCAGTGCACTTTTTTTAATCACATGGCTAGCTTATACACTTGTTAATAAATGTCTTTCCCTTAGGTTCAGATGCTAATATTTAAATTGTAATCATCTACATATGCATGTTTACAATTTTCAGATATTATTATAAACAGGCATAAATATTGTTATCAGGTATATGGGCATGTTTACAATTTTATAAATACATGTATAGAGAAAAAATAAATTGAAAGATAAACCTTCTTCAAGCTCAGTTTCAACCTGCATACCATGAAACCACGAAGATTAATTTTCAAGATTTGTCAAATACATTTATCTTCGATGGGAAATGTACTCTTAGTTTTACGTAATTTTCATTTTGATAAGAAAGTTCAATCAAAAAATGAGAAAAAGAAATGTGATAAAATTTAACCCACCATAAAATCATGACGATTTCACAAATACAGCGTATTCATGTTCTTCACACCAACAGATAATTAAAAGACTATATATGAGAAAGAGGATTTTTAAATAAAATATTTATTTGAACTACTTAAATGTAACAATTTTCCAAAAACAAACATTTTAATTTACATAGCCCCCGCCGCTTGATAATGGACAACACACAGCGAATCTGTTTCCCCTTGTACAGGTGTAACTAGCAGGGCATCGGATGCCACGCCTCCCTCCACAGGTAAGAGCATCACCGTTGGACTGGAAAGGACGCCCTCTACGGCATGGATTAGTATCTATTAAAAGAAATTTACAAATTAATATTATTCATATTGCATATAAAGATCTATTGATTAACGTGACATTTTCTATATATATAAACATACTTAGACAGCAAAGGCCACTTCCATCAGCAGGGGTATTGCAAAAAAATCCTCTAGGACACTGGCTGGGAGTATTAGGAAAGAAAGAGGATTGACACAACCTTGATTGACCAATCAGACGCCCGAACTCACACGTCAAGAGTGAAGGATCAGGGCCAATAGGAAAGGGGGGTAAAGGGTCCACTGGTCGTTGACTACCTTGTCTGTTTCCTCGATCTGAGTAAAGAAAAAAAAAGTTTAATCACCCTAAATCGAAAAAAAGCGAAAACCTTATGATTTTTACTTTCCAGGTGCATAATCATAATGGATTTTATTTATACTAGCATTGTTTGATAGTGGATAGCACACAGCGAATTTGTTTCCCACATACCCGTATTTCCATATAGATTTTTCTAGGTTGAGTACTAATTAGCAACTTAAAACAGAAAAAAAAAAAAACTTCAGATGAAGTCAAACTTTTCCAAGTTTCCTCATAAATGATGAAGAAAGATATCTAGGTGATAAACTTTTATTCAATGTACATGCAGTTGTCTTTTACTAGTATTCAGTTTCCTTTGTAACATTGCAATGAAGAACAACAGATTTTATAAAACAAAACCTTACTGTATGATCTGGCAGCAAAGCAGGAGGCGAGGCACAGGACAACACAGACCAATGTTAAGGCGTTCATCTTGAATCTTTCTGAAGTCTGTTTGTTTAAGAAATAATCTCTCTATTTATACAAAGTGCTGAACAAAGAAAATGATATAAAAGTATTCGTGTTTTTTTTTATTTGTCAACACTATTTGTAAATTAGGACTATGTGACATAGAACGTAGAAAAACTAATGGATAATAAATCTTTAAACAAGCCACGACCTTTGCCTTCACATCATTGTCACTCCAATGTTTTACTGGGATTGTCTGGAATTAATTGTAGAACACAATGACGTCTTCAAATTGACATTTGTTATACAACTGAAAACTTTAAGGAAACAATAAGCGAATGATTTTCTATTAAAAGAATTTAATGACAGAGTAGAGGATTGACGTAAAAATGCATAATAATTGATATTCTAGTGAAGCATGATAAACAGATGAATTTTGATTTGTAGAGAAATTTCGAAAAATGAACAAATAAAAAAAAAAAAAAATAATAATCATTATTTAAAATTATAAACTTCAAAAGGAATTTTATTATAGAAAAAATGACTTATAAAATCACTAAATACCTCAAAAGGGAAAATAAAGGATGACCGAAATTCTGTGCAAATCTCTTCAAAATTATTTATTTGCTGGCAGGTAATAAAAAATATAAGATCACCTACTCCTTTGTATTTCTTTTCTTTGACTGGTTTATAAGAATCTTGCATGTACAGTGTATGCACATGAACACTGCCTTATTTATAAAATTCATTCAAAAGTTTTTTTTTAATTTGTTTGAGTCATAGGCACTAGCTATTGCATTTCAAAGAGATTTCTATTCAGGCAAATAATATAAGAGAATTTTTCGTTAATGTTGAGTACTATACCAGTGGTGTGGTCTCAATGTCCGCTTCATTTACTGTATGAATTTGATTATTTGGCGAGAGTTTATATTAAACGTACAAAAGCTGCACATATTTTGCAATCGGAAGTAAGTAAGTAAAGACAAACCCTTTCTCTGTCACAATCATTCAAACAGGGTTTACGTCTTTCTTGATCAGTGCAACCAGTTTATAGTTTGTATAAATTATTCATTTCAAAGAAATTTAGAAAGCAATAAATGCTATGATATAGGTTATGATTTAAAAAAAAGAAAAGAAAACGGATAATGATGTAAAAGGTGAAGAAAACGAACAGTGATTAATCTCATAAATCAGTATAGAATACGGATCGTGAACAGGACAGAAACACTGATCCCTGGAAACATCAGAGTTTAGGCGGAGAAAGCATCTCCTGACGAACGGTCACATCCGTCGTGAGCCCTATGTATTGATAAAGGTAGACAGGGTAATCCGTAATAAAATTTAGTATAAAAAAACAATGTTCTAACAATTGGCATAAAAAATATCAGACAAAATACGACCCAACGATAGTATGTATTTGCAAACAAGGTCATTATTACGACCCTAGAATTTGCAAAAATGACTTTAAATGACTGTGAAATCCTTGTAACATCAACGTATTTGACAGTAGCTTGATTCGGTTAAAAATTAATCGTACCCAGAGCAAGCTCTTGCATATCGAAGCACTTAGGAGATATAAACACTATATGAAGTTGATATTAGAATATTACTACATGAATAAGGGGAGTTGACGATGGAAAGTCTGGAGTCATCCTAAAGGCGGATCCAGCACCGCCCCCCCCCCTTTTGAATTTTTTTTTAAAATTTTGTTTGTATTATCCTAAAATCAAGTGAAAACGCCTCTTATTTGTTAGAATTCTTCAGTTTCCGGGGGACCCCCACCAGGGCTTTACCCTGGACCCGCTGGGGGCTTCAATGCAGCCGTCAGACCCCCTTGCCTTCTACTGCGCCCCCCCTTTCCGTTATGAAATTCCTGGATCCGCCGCTGCATCCCGTTTGTCATACAGTTTAGTAATTAGTTGGCCATTATATCGTCTACACTCTGAATTCAGTAAAACATCTAAACAGATGTAGTAAACACTGCGATGTCTTCTTTTTCGAGTTCACTGGGATATATCGAGTCGACATATGAATAAAAATAACTATTGTAAATTGATAAAACGCCGTCGACATACCAGAATCTTCATGATTATGTGTTCTTATGTAGTGAAATGTACAATCCAAATGTTCGGTATAGATATTAATATTTTTTTTCTAAAGATGTTTAATAGAATTTTATTGATTTCTTTAAAAATAAATATATATACAATATTATGCGGTGAATTTAATAAAGAAGAATGCGCACGAACGCAATGTTTGTGAAAATTTTATCTTTAATTTTGTTTAATTTATTCATTCATAATATTTTCTGAAAACTATTAAATGCCTCGCAAAGTTCATTATACATCAACACATTTGTATTTTTCATGAGCAACTAAGAATATGTGCGATAGTAATTCATTATGTTGTTGTGAAAGATACTTTTTAGCACATTCTAAACAAACGTATTTTCAGAAAAAAAAAAAAAAAACAGTTCAGGTGGTTCATTATCATAGCAAGAGGGGTAATTAACGATCTTTCACATTTTTTTAATGAGTGGTATATAACTGTTGCCATATATTTAATACATTTTGCGACGGACCATTTAAATTTTCGACAATGGAATTATTTTCTGTTGGGTATTAAACGATAAAAGGATTGTTGAGATAATATGTAACATTAACATTTGACAAATATTCAATTCCACGTACTTTCTAATGAGATTCAAGGCATTAGAAGAAATCTGGAAGTATCAGCTGAAAAACGGAGATCCATGGGCCACTCTAGGCATTGGCAAAATACAAAACCCTCAGAGTGCTACGGCCGTATTCGACATGCATAAATGACACCTCAAGCTTGTAACTCCAGTGGCTGGTATAGGACATAAGTCTCCTAAGTTGGTGGCAATAACTTGTGTTGCAATGATAAGAGAGCGTTATCCCACTCAAGGATTGTGAAATCATTTTCATAATTTGTAGCGACGAAATAAAATTCGTGGCCACAAAACACTGGGGTCACAAAATAAAAATTGTGGCCACGAAATAAAATCCGTAAACCAAGAAATTACAATTTGTATCTAGAAAGCTCAATTTGTTGTTACGAAATAAGATTCTTGGCCTCGAAAAATCGTGACTATGAATTATAGGGCCGTCGCCAGGTTTCTGGAAAGGGGGGGGTGCGATGAGGGTCTGGGAGAGGTGTCCCCTCCCAGAAACAAGTAATTTTTTTTTTTTTCATTAAAATGGGTATCATTTTGGATGGTTCCTCTGCACTCTGAAAGTCATTTGATTGATTTTTGATGTTTACGTCCTTTGCAAGATTCACTCTTATGAGCAATCTCCTGTGCAGAGTTGCCGTTTGTTCTTCTCTCAGACACGAGAATGTGTGAGCCGATGGTAGAGAGTATTATGAGACGTCTCCATATACCGGTGAAGAACTTTTACTTGGCACGACAAAGGCGGCATTCAAAGTTGAAGTGAAACGAATGTTCTGAATTTATTTTTTTTTTGTACAGCAGGTATTTGAAAGTTGGCACCAAAACCTTATGGATAAAGACAGTATTGCGATGGTTATGTTGCAAAATTTATGTCTCCTGAACTCAGAATTCAGACTCCAAGATTGGGCTCAGTTGGACATGCATAGAAAATTTATTCATAATTTATGTCAGAAAATTCACTTACTAGATATTCAGGACTTTATTGAATTGTAGTGTACAGTGCACATACAATCATTTCGAATCTCTCTGTTGTTCTTTGGGTGATTGAAAGATGGAACCTATTAAAAAAAATACAATCTATTTTGAAGATCACTGCTATTTCAGAAAATCGATAGGGACAAAACGTCTTTAAAAAAAGCCCGGACGCATGAAGATAATTCGAAAAAAACCAACTCGGAAAACCTATACATGCTGTATTGCGGTGGTAGTTTCTACAATCTACTCACTGCAAAAATGTTGCAAATGTTTTTATTTAAGACAAAGGTGATGTTCAAAAAATAATCATTTCATGGGTCTAAAACGCAAAATTAATATTTGTTATTTCAAAATAGATCAGTCAAAATGTAAATATAAGTTATTATATAAAGTATCATTTTTAAACATTTATCGAATACAGATACGGGTTGGTATGTGATCAAATCTACCTAGGGACGTCTCTGATCTACCAAAAAGCTTATGGATTGGAACACGTGACTAATCCATGAGATTTTCAAAGTACATGCAACTCAAGATAGATGTAGAAACTTGATACCTTATGCTTAAATAAAAGTGATTGTTGATGACTTGAACTTCGATCTCTCGATGTTCTGGTCAATCTCTTGAACTGAGCTCGTATTCATGGTATTCTCTTACTCCCGATTTTAGCCCGTTTAAAACTTGCTATCTACATGTATATAACGTTGTTCTCTCGAAGTTCACACGATCTGTCAAAGTATTTTTCTTGTGACAATTTGAAATTCCTTTATTTATTTCTCCTCCATTAAGTTGGTGTAAAGCTAAAAATCAAGAAAAACCACATTATAATGATAATCAAACTTCAATTCAATATTCTTCTTTCACTCCGAAACCAATTAGAATAAAACAAATCAGTGTGGAAAGTTCATTAAGTAAAAAAAAATGCTTTCTGTTTTTGCAATTACATACATGTATGTTTTATCAATGTTTTACCTAGTCAGTGCTAAAAGGTCATTTCTTGAGAAAACAGTAGGCCTATAGGCCCTTACATTAAACATTTCTCGGTAGATCTATGTAACTTGAGGTAATATCTGATACCATGAGATACCATACTAATCAGATTTTTTTTTAAATATAATATATTAATTACCACACTTTCAGAAAGACTCCACCTCCACCACCACCCACCCCCCCCCCCACAAAAAATGTAAATATGTTAAGAAAAAGACACCCCTCCCCCAAAGTGTTATATTTAGGGCCTTGTTGATAAAACTGGAAGATTTTACATCGGGTTCGAAATCTCTTTTATTGAATTTGGAATGGCGCGTAATCAAGGTTAGGTAGCACGGTATGTAATGTATAGACCGTAGAATTTGGAGAGGAAACAAGTCAATTCATGAGATGTTCATCAGAATTTAACCTGAAATGTTCACGAGGTACACAAAAATGGGAATATGCCAACTCAGGTTACAGTGCTTAGAACAGTAGACGTAAGGAAAGCAGTCCTTTGAGCATGTTCAACATGCTCAAAGGACTGCTTTCCTTACGATCATGTTGAGCTAGTGATTGTACTGGACCTCATGAAAGCTGAAATATCAAGTTACATACCGTGTTATAGTCCCATTGTATCATGATATATCAGATACCCTTGAATTGATAAACCTTTAATTGATATATCGTTACACCCCTACAGGATACGGAGCAAAATGTATTAATTTTACAGATCTGTCAAGTGTCATATGTGCGGTTACTAGCACAACACACCAGCACATGCATGTATGACAGATCTGGTAAAGTCAATACATTTTGCTCCGTAACTTGTGGGGGTGTAAAGATACATCAGTTAAACGTTATCTGATATATCATACAGTGTAGGTAAAGAAATATTCAAAAGTGATGAAAATTTTTTACCAGCGTTTTTTTTCCCCTTATACATGTTATAAGTGGTACAGATAAATGGTACGATTCCCAATGCAAAAAAAACATTAATTTTTTTCCCAATTTCGAGATTTAAGTTTTCCAAATTCAACTGCTGTGGAACAGAATATGATGACATCGTAATTCTTTTCAAGTAAAACTTTGTATGAGTTGATGAAATTATTCACTTCCTCTTAAATCGAGAGTGGTGGGACACATGTTGTAGACAGTCAGTGTCTTACATTTTTGACAACTTGAAAGTTTTGAAAACTTGAGCAGGGCATTGATGTAAAGATGGTAAAACAATGTATACTTGTTGTTTATTCTTTATAACATGGATTACTAGGTAATGAGATTAGAATAAATTCAAATAAATTTCATTTGTTTACATGACAGAAAATTTCCATGCATAATCTATTTTAACGCTATTTCTCCTGATTCAATCAGTACCTGACTCATTTCAAATGAGTTGAAAAAAATTGCTGTTTACATTCTAATTTGCATTTTTGTGCTTCATTTTCTTTGTCGAATTGGACGGAAGATCTGCTTGTTGCTCCAGCAACGGGCTTTGCTCTAGTTATTATTGTTAGCTCACCTGAGCCAAAGGCTTGAGCTTTTCTGATCAAAGAGTGTCCGGTGTCCGTCTGTCATCTGTCGTCTGTAAACTTTACACATTTTCGACTTCTTCTCAAGAACCACTGGGCAAATTTCAACCAAACTTGCCACAACGCATCCTAGGGTGAAGGGGATTTAAATTTGTTTACAGGAATTAAGTGTTAGCCCTCTTTCAAGGGGAGGTAATTAAGAATTCAGGAAAATTTGGTGACATATTTTAAAAATCTTCTTCTCAAGAACCACTGGGCAAGGAAAGATTAAACTTATGTGAAAGCTTCATTACATACTCTAGTTAGATTCAAATTTGTTTACCAGAAATTTCCTGACAAGCAAAAAAAAAAAATAAAAACAAAAAAACAAAACAAAACAGAAAACAAACAAACAAAAAACATATAATTTCCATTCATAAAAGCGGAAAAAACCTATTTCGTGGTGGTGGTAGTGGGTCAACGTTTTCTAGGGGGGTCCAAAGTCATTTTTTTATTTGCTTCAGTAATACATTTAATAACTGCAAATTCTAAGGGGGGGAGGGGGGAGTCTGGAACCCCCCAACCCCCCTTTTACATATGAATATATAGGAAATGTCTCTAAAAATCTTCTTCTCGAGATCCTCAAAGCCATGATTAGTCATATTATTATAGAAGTATCCTCAGGTAATGTAGACTAGTTCCAATCATGACCCCTGGGGGTAGGGCAGGTCCACAACAGGAGGCAGAATTTACCATAGGAACATATAGGAAATGTCTTTAAAAAATCTTCCCTAGGTGAAAAAGATGGCAGTTAAACCAGCAGAAGTTAAGGGTAAGAGCAAAATAAAATTATTAAAGTTATAAGCACCAATGGCAAGTATCCTAGGGAATTGATGTTAAGTTCTGGGTGTAATAAATCTGAAGAAAATTGAGACACTCGGTTCTTATCTATTACAGTAAATAGGAACATAGGGGAGAAACACAGTGCAAGTAGTATATTAACCAGTCCCAGTCTTTAAATAAGAGAAAAAATTTAGTACTGAGTGATTACCTTCAGACAGAGCAGTCTTAATAATCATTTCAATTATTAAGTCAGAGTAAAAAGATAACCTATACATCCCTTGTAAGAACCTGAACATACATGGTACATAAGAAATATATTTAAAAATCTTCTTCTCAAGAACAACTAAGCCATTATTAGTCATATATATAAAGAAGCAACATTAGGTATTGTAGAATCAAGTTTGTTCAAAATCTGACCCCCAAGGGTTTGGGGAGGGGGCAGAACATTATGGAGGGTAATCGTGTTCAAAAATCCAGACTTGTAAGTTTGTAAATCCTAACTTGCAATCTTATCGGTTTCATAGGTTACATATGTAAGTAGGTAATTTTCCGACATCCAAGCATGTAGTTTTGAAAATACAACTTTGTTGACTTTGAGTTTATACCATGAATGTGTGTATTTTTGATGTTGTAAACTTTGTTTTTTGGAATCCATTGGAATCTGTATTTCCGCGCTCTGAATGAAACACAAAGACAATTCACAAGTCTACAAATGTAAAGTTTGCACGTTTGTCGAATTTTGATATGAGAAACTATGGAGGGGCATCAGAGCCACAATAATTTTTAAATGTTTTTATTTTCTATTTTTTCCATCTTCTTCTTTTTCCAAATGAAATAAATTACTTTTAATTTCTTTTTTCCCTAACTTCCAGTTTTATATTAATATTTTTATTTAAATTTCTTATAATTATTTAATTTTAACTTCTTGTTTATATTTTCCTATTTTATTTTATTTTCTTAATTTTAATTTATTTGACGATGTAATATGAATCATCACCAGCTTACACACGGCTTGTGCAGATCTAGAGGGGTTTCAGTTTTTAAGGTCTCCTTACGCAGCTGTTGCGTTTGGTACGGCACTGGAAAAATCGAACTCTGACCTCCCCATGACTTACGAAGCTAGTGCCCAACCACTAGGCTACTGTGATCAGTGCCCTAGTTTATTAAGAACTAATTAAAAAATGTGATCAGTGCCCTAGTTTATTGAGAATTTATGTAATTGCAATATAAATATCATAATATCATATGTTAAAAAAAACCCCAACCAATCAGTAGATGCATATCCTTAACAAGGTTTTTCAAGGGGGGGGGGCAAAATATTTTGACGAGCAGAAAATAAATAAATTGCGAAAACTCCTCCTTCTTTGTGGGAGGGTGAAACGATGTTCAGGATCTTTTGTCAACTTTTCAGTAGCTTTTTTTTTAAAAATAAGAATTTGCCAGAGTTTGATGATACTGCAAAATAAGGGGGGGGGGGGGGGTATACAGCCTATAAATAAATTTTTCATATTAAAATAACTGTAAAGATTATTCTCCACACAAAAGAGTGGGGAGCTCAACCTTCCGCCCCCCTCATACTTCGGCCCTGAGATTTGTTGAAGTGAAGATTTTTTTTCAGTCCTACTTTGAAAAAATAATTTGATGACATTATCAATTTAAAGATACCTGATATTTGTGTACCATAAGCGGGTAATCAAAAATAACGGTCATATTTATCATATTTCAAACATCAGGCTCCGGGGCCATAAAACTTTTATCAAAGGTATTAATAGTAGCAGAGTTGTGGAAAACTGCCAGTCATGCTGGCAAAACCAATTAAAAATGCATGTGACCGTTAAAAATGCCATCCTGTCAGTCCAAATGACCGACCCTTTTTTTGGGTCAAGTTTTGTTTTTCCTGTTATCATCGGCGCAGTTTCCAGCTTAATTACCATAGAAAATATAAAGTGCAATTGCGCAATACTTTTTCTTTTTACGAGAAACCAGGTAAAAAACATAAAGTGATGGATAAAGACAAAGCTAAATATGAAAAATCTCAACAGAAAGAATTCAAACACAGTTGGGGCAAGCGGTAAATCTAGTACTCACAACTGTCCCGGATTTCAGTTTTTCATTGATCGTGTAGATATCTTCATTATCGATGCACAGAATTTCTTCAAATTTCTCAGTTACAAAAGAGGTAAATCTAGTGCAGTGTTATAAATGCAAAAACCAAAAATGGACAAAGACTATGAAGACTGAAGTAAAGAGATGTGTAATAAAGTATGTATTTTTTGTTGTTGTTGTTGTTGTATTTTTGCGACTTTAGATTTCGGACTGGCTAAAATTACTTCGGACTGGCTTATTTGTGTTCTTGCCAGTCCGAATGACTGGTTATTTCAAAAAGTTGTCCACAACTCTGTAGTAGAAAAGTTAAAATTGAGATCAAAAGTGAGCTCATCTAAGTTTCTTGGCCCGGAGCCAGGTCTGTAAGCAGCAAGTGGGGTGAGGGTACCAGTATATACTATACAGTAGAAAATAAGCCATATCCGATTGTGTCCCCTCATTAATTTTGCCTGGAAATACATGAGAAAAGAAATCAAGGCTAATTTATCGGTGTGTCCCCTTAATCGTAATGTCTGATTTTTTTCAGGGGGGGGGGGGGGGGAGGCTTGTCAAGAAATTTTTGTTTGGTGCCTCCAAATGAAATTGCTTCCTACAGACCTGTAAACGAGAGAAAACACACAAGAATGAATATCATATGGTTTTTAAAATTGAAAAACATTTTTTTATGTTCCAGGGAAATACATGTATTTCTGCGTTTCGTATACTGTTTGCACAAGATCTCTATATACATGTACATAAAAGGCAGCAGTGCCCCTTTTCATTTTAATTTCATTCGGATTCCTTAATTCAGCTCTCTTAAGCTTAGTCCTACTTTCTAATTCAAACTTTTGTTTCTGCTTATAGTTCTAGCCAAAAAACAAAAAACAAAAACAAAACAAAAAAAAAAGCAAAAAAAAAAAAAAACAAAACAAAATAAAATAAAAAACAAAGAGAGAGAGAGAGAGAATTAAGTTAGGTATAGTGCAACATAATTTAAAATTTAAGATAGAATCAAAATACGAAATGAAGCTATATTATCAAAATAAAAGAAAATAAAGAAAATAAAATAAAACTGGAAAATATAAACAAGAAGTTAGAATTAAAATAAGAAATAAAAAAAATAAAGAATTTATTTAATTTGGAAAACAAGAAATTAGAATTAAAAAAAAGAAAAGAAAATAAGAACATATAAAAAGAATTGTGGCTCTGATGCCCCTCCATAGTTTCTCATATCAAAATTCGACAAACGTGCAAACTTTACATTTGTAGACTTGTGAATTGTCTTTGTGTTTCATTCAGAGCGCGGAAATACAGATTCCAATGGATTCCAAAAAACAAAGTTTACAACATCAAAAATACACACATTCATAGTATAAACTCAAAGTCAACAAAGTTGTATTTTCAAAACTACATGCTTGGATGTCGGAAAATTACCAACTTGCATATGTAACCTATGAAACTGATACGATTGCAAGTTAGGATTTACAAACTTACAAGTCTGGATTTTTGAACACGATTTCCCTCCATACAACAGAAGGTCAGAGTTTTACATACAAATGTATAGGAATCATCTTGAAGAAATTTTCTGCTCAAGAACAGCAAAGCCATGATTAGTCATATTATTGTAGAAGCATCTTCAGGTAGTGTAGACTCAAATTTATTCAAATTTAGGGTGGGTAGGAAGGGGTACAATGAGGGATCAGAGTTTTACATAGGAATACATAGAAAAAAATTTTAAATTCTTCTGCTCAAGAACATAAAAGCCATGATTAGTAAAATTGATATGGAAGCATCCTGATGTAGTGTAAATTTAAGTTTGTCCCCCCACCCCCAACTTTTCAATACTGAACTGATTTCTGCTTTTTCCTAAACAATGTGCTCAGGTGAGCGATGCAGACCATGTGCCTCTTGTTTTTTTTACCAATTTTAGTGCATGTGATTTCTAAATTAAATGGTGTTAGGGAGGGGCTTTATTGACTGATATAGAAAAATGCATTATTTCTTAAAAAAATTTCTTCTCTTCTCCTGTATATTTAGCAGAGAAAGTTTGTGCAAGGTTACAATAACCAACGGTGCCTCTTCCAAAAGTGTGAATTTCAAGGCCCCTGTGTCAGGGGTTCTGTTATTAGAAATTTACAAATAAACAATTTTAAAGAAGACATGCAGTTAATAATTAATTTTTAACTCACCTCGACGAAGTCGAGATGAGTTTATGCTATACCCCGGCTTTGGCATCCCGGTTAAAATTTTAGGAGCAAGTCCCATTCCCAAGTAACTATAAGCCCTACCTGGACCAAACTTGCATGGATGATGCATCTAGGGATGGACACTACCACACTTGCCTTGGATGCTGGACCTGACCTAGATTTTCCAGATGAGTGACCAGGTTAAAGTTTTTGGAGCAGGTCCATTCCCAAGTAACTATAAACCCTACCTGGACCAAACTTGCATGGATGATGCATCTAGGGATGGACACTACCACACTTGCCTCGGATGCTGGACCTGACCTAGATTTTCCAGATGAGTGACCAGGTTAAAGTTTTTGGAGCAGGTCCATTCCCAAGTAACTATAAACCCTACCTGGACCAAACTTGCATGGATGATGCATCTAGGGATGGACACTACCACACTTGCCTTGGATGCTGGACCTGACCTAGATTTTCCAGATGAGTGACCAGGTTAAAGTTTTTGGAGCAGGTCTATTCCCAGGTTACTATAAGCCCTACCTGGACCAAACTTGCATGGATGATGCATCTAGGGATGGACACTACCACACTTGCTTCGGATGCTGGATCTGACCAAGATTTTCTAGAGGAGTGACCAGGTTAAAGTTTTTGGAGCAGGTCCATTCCCAAGTAACTATAAGCCCTACCTGGACCAAACTTGCATGGATGATGCATCTAGGGATGGATACTACCACATTTGCTTTGGATACTGGATCTGACCTAGATTTTCCAGATGAGTGAATTTTAGCCATATTTTAATCAAATTAGCATGGATGATGTATCTTAGGATGGACACTTTCAGACTTGTTTTGGATTCTGAATCTGACCTAGATTTTCCAGATGAGTGACCAGGGTAATGTTTAGGAGTAGCCTTATAATATTATGGCATGTTATGATTAAACTTGCATGGATGGTGCATCTAAGGATGAAAACTTCCAGACTTGCTTTGGATGTTGGAACTAACCAAAATTTTCTTGATTAGTCAACAGGTTAAAAGTTTTTTGAGCAGGTCTTTTTCCAAGTAACTATAAGTCCTTCTTAAACCAAACTTGTATGAATATTGATCTTGGGATGAACACTAACTAGAAAAAATATGATGTGAGATTTGCCTTACTTATAGATTAACTTCGTCGAGGTGAGCTTGGTAATCTTTGATTACCTATGTTTTTATTCAAATCAATGTGCATTTAATTAGAATAAATTTATAGAATTGAATACAAGAGGTTTATAATTTCAAACAAAACTTGGTTTCATTTTCATTTATTGCTTAGTGCTTCTCATTTTTTTTCCCAGCTCGTTGCTTTAAAAAACACTGTGCATCTCACCCATGAAAGAGGACCATGAATTGAATTAGGTTGGAATTTACCAAGATAAATTTAGTCCATAAATTTAGGGGGATTTAAACAAGCAATAGAAGAGGAGAATGGCGTCAGAGAGTTCTCCTAGTTCTTCTACATGTACTAGTGTGGATGAATTCGATGAATCTTCTGGTCATTTGGAATTTCGGAAGCGGAAAACCAAGGACGACTCTTATGGAAGAGATTTTAAAATAGCAAGAGGTTCACAATCTAAAGGAGAAAGTGTCTCCAATTGGAAGATCCATAAATTGGATAAACTTGGTTTGTCATACAAAAATCACACATCAAACTTCCAAGACTTCTTTAAAGTAGTAAAAAAATTTGGTTTTGGTCCCCTCTCTGAAGAAAAGAAAAGCATTTTAGAGTCTCTAACGGAATTGATTAAAAAAGCAATGTCAAAGACGTCCTTTAACATAAGACGAAAGGAGAATGCTGAATATTGTAAAGGAGAGCTGAAGAGTTGCATTGAGGTGACAGAAGAGATAAAACCATTGTGGGACAACCTTGTAACTGAAGGGAAATTAACTTGGTAAGCAATGATAATTCATTCTGAGAGTAGCAGATGAAATAAACTAGTCAACTGGTCAAAGGTTCAAGTGCAGTAATAAGCAATAAAATCTTCTCTTTGTAACTTTGCAAGAAAAAAATGCATAACCTACCAAAGCCAGTCATGTTACTTTTTAATTCCCAAGCACAGCCCAGAGCGTTTATAGGCAGCCCACAACTACTTCCATTCCAGCACCCCATGAAAAAGTTCAGTAACTCTAGTCATGCAGTCTTCTAAAAATATACAGCTGGAAATCACTGACTTCTTGACTATTTTAGTGTAAGACTGAGTTACGTGAAGTTACAATAATAGGTATTTATTAGTACAAATGAGATTGACCTCAGATGAAAATCAATAGCTTAGTGGGCAGATCTTGGAGCATTTTATTTTTATCTTATCTGAGCCAAGACTCGAATGAGCTTTTTTGATAAAAATTTGACCATTATCTGTTGTTGTCATTGTTAACTTTTTACATTTTCATCTTATTTTCCAGAATCACTGGGCCAGTCTTAACCAAATTTGATACAGAGTATATCTGGGTGAAGGGGATTAAAGTTTGCACAAGTAAAAGGCCACACCCTCTTTCAAGGGGATAACTAAGAGTTCATGAAAATTTGGTAGCATCCTCTAAAAAGGCCAGAAAAATTAAAACTTGTGTGAAAGCTTCATTACATACTAGATTCAGGTTTGTTCAAAGCATGATCCCTGGGGGTAGGGGGGGGGGGGCACAACAGGGGATCAAAGTTTTACATAGGAATATATATAAAATATCTTTAAAAAATCTTCTCATCAACATGATCAAGAACAGCAGTAATTAGTCATGTTTATAAGGAAGCATCCTTAGGTAGTGTAGATTCAAGTTTGTACAAATCATAAGCCCTCGGGATAGGGCAGGGCCAATATAGAAGATCACTTGATTACATTGAAATATATCGGGGAATTTTTAAAATCATTTTATGCCTTGATTATTCAAAGAAATATGCAGTTTTAGCAAATTAAATACACCTGTAAATCATAATCATGATTTAAAACAGAGCTCAAGCCCATGTTGAAAAACACAGGTATTTTGTGTCAAGTTCAATATTTTTGACAGTTAGCCTCTTGTAATTTTGAATAAACACAGTTTGTCATACGATAATATTTGATATCGGAGAGAAAAGCTGCATTTTAATTGCTTCAGGGACTCACTGTATCTGGCAAAGATAATATATAGGTATATAGTTACATTTGTTGATAAGAATATTTATCTTAGATCTCTATATTAACAAAATATTAAAAAAAATTTTTCTCAAGGTATCACACACAGATATTGGTACATCTTCTGAACTTTTATGAACAGTTTACTCTATTTCTTCGTACAAGATGTGTCGCAAACACTTGCCCTCCAGTGGAAGCAAACTATACTGCTTTACTTGCATCTTTTGTGGAAATCTTTCTACTGAGAGCAAAGTAAGTATTATGACTAGTATTATCATTAACTAAATCACATACATCTTTTACTAAAGTGCACTTCAGCAATTGAGAATGGGACCTTTTTCAGTGCCATTTTAATCTAATGTATATTATCAAATTGTTCTATTTTGGTAATACTTAACCATTGGTGGATACTTCTAATTTAAAATCAAGTTAAACGTCACAAAAATCATTCAACTCTCTTTACCCTCACGTTTTTCATGAACTTGATACATGTTCATGCAAATGACAAGGCAGAATATTACTAATGTTTACAATACTTCAAGAATTTCGAGGTAAATGATGATGTTTACAAAATATCTTTAAAATATTCTGAAAATATTTTGCAATTTCAATTTTTGCTGATATGTCCTATTTAAATACCACATAATTTGGACACGTTCAACCACAGAAAATACCAGTTATACTGTAGTTGCATCACAACCATAAAACACCAAAAGCGGGGGACCACTATTCTTTGAATGTGCTTATTGAATTAATAATTTTCTTTTTATTAAATATTTCAGACAAGGAGGTGAATTTAAGAGTATTGTGAACATAAATGGTGTACCTACATCTGCAGCTCCTGCTTTACGTCTTGTTAATGTGGGCAGTTTGCAGGACATTGAAAGAAACCTGTGTCTGTGTGTCATTGCTGTGGTTGAGGTATCTTTAATTATATATTATAGCTAGGTACTGCAGCGTTCAGATTTCAGAATTATATTTTAGATATTGAAGCATGCTGAAGTTATGCAAGATATGCTGTTGATAACTGCTGAAGTCTTGTAGCTAATGAACACAGGTTTTTAAAAAGCATTCAGGTTGAGATTTGACATTATAAATTTAATCTAAAGTCATGAATGTTTGTGTTGATAATGTTAATAAAACAAAGAGGAATGAAAATAAGATAAACATTTAGATGTAAGTGGGTATAAGCAATCTCTCTCTCTCTCTCTCTCATTTGATTCTTTACGCGCTGAAAACAACCCCAAAAAGGAATTTTCAAAATACATGTACTAGTTTGTGAAAAGAAAAGAATTTATTCTGTTACAAAAAGTACGCTGCAAGATACTTTGTGTTTTCAGAGACATAAATAACATGTTATTTATCAGCTGTTTGATGTCTCTGGTGTTTTGCGGTGGATTTTAACTAATAAAAGGAGCTACTAATTTCAGATGATGAGATGACATTTTGATATATTATTATTAACTCACCTGAGCCTTGGATCAAGTGAGCTTTTCTGATCAAAGAGTGTCTGGCACATCCTTCTGTCATCTGTAAACTTTTCACATTTTCGACTTCTCAAAAACCACTGGGTCAATTTCAACCAAACTTGCCACAAAGCATCCTTGGGTGAAGGGGATTTAAGTTTGAACAATTTTTTCAGAAAGAAAAAATGGGATGAGGAACACTTATGGCCTGTAGTGTAGGAAAATGTTACATTTACATTGATTTGAAATATTCAAGTCTGCTGATATCTTAATTTTTATGATAATATAAAAACATTTTGCATAGATGTTAAACACCTATAAGATAATAAGGTATATTTATTCAAATGAAATTATATTGAAGTTTCAGTAGATTGGAAAAATTGCTATCGCTCTCTCGATCTAATTAAAATTAGATGTTCCGAATCCGCTACCACTTCTCAAACATCTAACAACATCCCATTTGGGGTCACGGCAGAGCGACCTTTCGATTAGCCAATGAAATCGCTGCCTCCGAAATCTTGGCTTATAGTTCTGGTGCGTTTCTTTTTCACTGCCAAACCTAAGCGCCCGAGGAGTTTTGTAGTAAACAAGATATGCATGGCAAAGGCTGTGCTATGTATAAATGTGACATGCGGGGTATCTTGTATGTGCATTTTCGTTTGCGTTATTCAGGTAAGAATGCCAGATTAGTGAACTATACATTCAGTTTATACCAAAATTACTTTAATTCAACGTATTAAGACAGACTAATGAGCAACAATAATGTTAAGATGTAGCTGTGGAACTAATTTTAGAATCATATACTGAAGCTCAGGTCTGATTAGCCAAAATTTTCATGTTTATTCATAATCGAAAGGTCGCTCTGACGTGACCCCTAATGGGATGTTGTTAGATGTTTGAGAAGGGATAGCAGATTCGGAACGTCTAATTTTAATTAGATTGTTGTTCTCAATGCAACTAAACCAAAATTTATCTTTTAAAAAATTTAATGAATCAATAAAATAAAATTAAACTGAAAAACAACTTGAATTTTTATACCCCACGCAACTAGTTGCGGGGGGTATAATGTTTTTGACCCGTCCATCAGTCAGTCAGTCAGTCCATCAGTCCTGTTTTTTTGTCAGCGCAACTCCTCCTAAACCGCTGCACAGAATTTGGTCAAACTTTGCAGATATTTAGGACACAATGTGTAGATGTGCATACTAGCAGGAAATTCCAATTCCTTTATTTTTTCTGGGAATTTCGGCACTTTTCAACTTAGATTTTTGGCCATATCTTGAATATAGAGATGAACAGTTTGTCAGCGCAACTCCTCCGAAACCGCTGCACAGAATTTGGTCATACTTTGCAGATATTTAGGACACAATGTGTAGATGTGCATATTACCAGGAAATTCCAATTCCTTTATTTTTTCTGGGAATTTCGGCACTTTTCAACTTAGATTTTTGGCCATATCTTGAATAATTTATATAGAGATGAACAGTTTGTCAGCGCAACTCCTCCTAAACCGCTGCACAGAATTTGGTCAAACTTTGCAGATATTTAGGACACATATTACCAGGAAATTCCGATTCCTTTTTTTTCTGGGAATTTTGGCACTTTTCAACCTAGATTTTTGGCCATATTTTGAATATAGAGATGAACAGTTTGTCAGCACAACTCCTTTTAAACCGCCGCACAGAATTTCGTCAAACTTTGCAGATATTTAGGACACAGTGTGTAGATGTGCATATTACCAAGAAATTCTGATTCCATTATTTTTGCCCTAAGAGTTTTGCCTATTATTGAAGAAACTTTCCAGCTAGATAATAAGGAAATCCACACTGGAATCAGCCTTTGTAATGACATTTTATGTGAAATATTTTATGACTTTTAAAAGACCCCTATTGATTTTGAGGTCAAAATATTAATGATTTAACACACACACAAAATCTTGAATCTTGGATAGTTCTCAACCCCCCCCCCCCCCCCTTTCAAATTGGTGCTTTGCCTTAAATAATTTCATAAGTACAGTATATAAACAAATTCATATGACTACATCATAATTTTGTTTCCATCAATTATTTAAATGTGTAAGTTGTCATGTGTTGGACATGCACTTACACTCATTAACAAATCGAAATCACTGAGGAATTTAAATAACAGTTTGTCAGCATAACTCCTGCACTGAATTTCCTGAAACTTTGTAGGTTTTTCAGACATAATGTATAGATTTGTATATTACCAAGAAATTTTTATTCCATTATTTATCTATGTACTTCAGCCCAATTAAATTTGTAACATGCAAAGATTTGAATGTCCTTATATGCAAGAAGTTTTGATGTGATGATTTTTTGCAAGTAATGCCCCTTTTTGAATTATACTGTGTACTTAAAATGCACTGTGCTATTCAGTACATGTTGCATTGTCAAGTTTTGGGGGAGCGTGGGGTATGTGAGCTTACTCACTTTTTCTTTCATTTTAATAATTAAAAAAAAACTAGAAATATGTCCATAGGACATGAATGCCCCGCTGAGGGTATATTAGTAATGCAACATTTTAACACAAATTGAGAAAAGTGACGTCAAGGTCAAAGGAAAGGTCAGGGTGAAAAAATATTGATGCAGTTGAATGGCTTACATCAGTATGTATCAGCATATGAAGTTTGACAATAATTAAAGAAAAGTGAGGTCAAGAACAAAGGAAAGGACAAGGTCAAAAATTGTTGATGCAGTTGAAAAGGTTACATCAGTATGTATGAGCATATGAAGTTTGATAAAAATATTATGAATGGTTTCTTTAAACTGAGCTAAACACTAATTTAAGAAAAGTGAGTTCAAAGTCAAAGAAAAGGTCAAGGTCAAAATATTGATGCAGTTGAATAGCTCTCATCAGTATGTATCAGCATATGAAGTTTGATAACACCATCTTGAATGGTATCTTTAAAAGTGAGTTAAAAACTTATTTAAGAAAAGCGAGGTCAAGGTCAAAGGAAAGGTCAAGGTAAAAAATATTGATGCAGATTAATAGCTCTCATCAGTATGTATCAGCATATGAAGTTTGTTAAAAATGTCTTGAATGGTGTCATTAAAACTGAGCTAAACACTTATATAAGAAAAGTGAGGTCAAGGTCGAAAGAAAGGTCAAGGTAAAAAAATATTGATGCAGCTGAATAGCTTACATCAGTATGTATCAACATATGAAGTTTGATTACACTATCTTGAATGGTATCTTTAAAACTGAGCTAAACACTAATTTAAGAAAAGTGAGGTCAAGGTCAAAGGAAAGGTCAAGGTCAAAAAATGTTGATGCAGTTGCATAGCTCTCATCAATATCTATCAGCATATGAAGTTTGATAAAAATATCTTGGATAGTTTCTTTGAAACTGAGCTTCGAACATAGCTTAACACAAAGTGTGATGGAAGGACAGACGGAAGGACAGAGGGATGGAAGACGGACATTACAAACACTATATGCCCCGGCCATATTCATGGCGGGGCATAAAAATGATGGTCCATGTGAGGATTGAACCAAAAGGTTCTCGAATCTTAACTGCTCTGGACTGGTAATGTTTGAGACACAATAAACATCAGGGCTTTGAATAATGGGAGGCAGGAGGGGATTTTTTTTATTTCAAGAAAAGGTTGAATGAAAGCTCATAATTGTTTAAGGTGAAAAGGACAGCCAAACGAAGTGGATCTTCAGAAAAATTTGACATTCATTCTGCACTTTGGGATGATGTTCTTGCACAGCATGCTGGTGAACTACTGCTTGAATATCAAAATACACAATATGCCAGCAAAGATTGTGATACCAAAGTGATATTGGGATTCATTTGCTTGGAAACAACGGTATGATAATTCATTATATCTGTTTCTTTACGAAATTATTTCCAGAGCCTCACAATCAAATTTGTATATCTGATCAGAATTTGTCTATTGACAATATGCTGACCTTAAGGGCTTTGTCAAACCTTAATGAATAGCGCTGACTGACATCTAATTGATGGCAAAATTTTCAATTCGTTCATCTCAAAAAAAAAGATTACAAAATAATCTTGGCGCCGGTGTCGGCCTTCCAGGCTAAAATTTTTGGAGGAGATTTCTTTTCAAGTACTTTTATGCCTTATATTAATCAGAAATGCATGGAGGATGCTTCTAGTATGTTTCATTGTACCAGTCAAGGTTTCAGTTGCTGCAATTTTAGCTAGAGAATGACCAATTCTGGAGCAGATCTCATTTCCAAGTAACTATAAGCCCTATATTGACCAAAACTTGCATGGATGATACATCAAAGGATACACATTACCAGGCTTGCTTTGGATGCTGGATCAACATTTTTCGGATGAGTGACCAGGTTAAAGTTTTTGAAGCACGTCCATTACCAAAGAACTCTAAGACCTATCTGAAACTTGTATGGATGATGCATCAAGGGATGAACACTCTTAAACTTGCCTCAAATACTGGATTTGACTTATATTTTTTGGATAAGTTTATAGATAAGACAATTCCCAAGTAACTGCAAGCCCAAATCAGGCCAAAATTGCATAAATGTTGAATCTAGGGATGCACTTTACTAGATTATTAGTTCAGTTGGGACTTTGCCTTAATTAAAGACATTCACTGAGGTGAGGTCTTTAATCTCTGAGTACCTATGTTTTTAATTGTATCATATATTTTTTTTTCGTAGGCCCTTCAATATGAGATCAAAGGTTATGCCTCCTGTCACCATTTGTTTATTTGTTTTACATCCCTTAAGAGCCCTCTATACACTGGACATTAAAGTATTCTGATTTTGTTGTTATTTTATGCAGAAAGAGTAATCTGCCCTTTGATCTAGAATAAAATAAATCAAAACATACTGTTTATTACTTAATTTGTGATCAAATCAAGCATTCATAACATTTTAATAGGCCAAGAGGATTATGTAGAACACTTCATTTGCAGGTATTTTACCCATTTAAGTTAATAACAGTGATTTCTATTCATCAGTACTCCATTGTCTTTGAACATTTTTCCTGGGGGTAAATTTGAGATACCTTTTGTTGAAAATGTAATAGGCAATCTTAATATTGACACCTTTACATGCTATAATTTTCTTAATGTCCAAGAAATCTTTTCCTTTAGTGTATAGAGGGTCCTTAATGCCATTCAGTAAGATTTGATCGAGCCCTAGCTAAAGTAGGACACTAGGTCCTAGAAAAGAAGTTAAAAATGTAAAAAGTATACAGATGAAATACATCACCAGATGCCAGACAAACAGATTTGCAGAGGCTGGCCATGGATTCTCTGATGTGAAAAACTCGATAGAGCCTCACAATTAAGATGATACAGTCAAAGCAGAACCCTCTACCAAATTTTGAATAATTTTGGCCCTTATGCCCATGGTTTAAACCCTGTGATGGGACTTGGGAATTCTTCTGCTCTTGCTCTTGGATTCTAGCACAGAAACTCATTGCATGGTCACACTGAGTAATAATTTAAACCTATTAACAAAATGGAATTATTCTAGCATTAATTATTTTTGGTTATGATTTCATTTTAGCTTATTTTCACTTGGTTGGAGCTTAGTGACATCCATTATGCAGACATTAAAGAGGGCAACTTGTTACAGGATGACAGTAAAGATGAGGATGAAAAGGAAATAAAAGACAAGAAAGAGAGTGGAAAAATATCATATACTAAACCATATGATTATCTTTTGAAGGAAGATAGAGAACAGATCCTTGATTTTTTGTATGAATTGGCATTTCAATCAGAAGAAAGATTTTCTGCTAGCAAAAAAAGAAAATCTTAGTTTTAAACTTATATAATGTATCTAAAAAGTTTTGAAATGCCTTTTAATGATACTAATATATTTGTGATTATTAAAAAAATTGAGAAATGACTTAGAGCATTTATTCTGATTTAAAAATCGAAAACGTATTTACGTATATGTCTACAATAAAATTTATTGCAATACCTTTAAAAATTGATTCTAATATAAATCTATACTAAAAAAATCTATTTCCAGTGATTTATTGGGGGGTCTATAAAAAAATGTTTGACTGCATAGTGAGATATCGGACCTGTCAACGAGATATTGGGCTGCTTACGTCACACTGTGGCCAGGATCGGCCAAATTTTATTTGCATTCGTTGGTGTTCGGCAGTGACAGAATTGACTGAGTTTTACCACAGTGCAGATAAAGGAAATTAACAGCACAGGATTTTATATATATATATATTACAAAACATTTATTGACTGTGTTCTTGGGCAAAATACGTTTTGCCAGGCCTCAGGCAAACATTTTGGTTCTTGATTCCTACAAAACACGTTGCCCTCGAACCCAGTAAATAAATGTAAATTATTTCAGAAGAAAAAAGACCAACAATAATATAATAATATTTAATTAAGAGTACAATGTACACAAAAATTGGACATTTTAATACAATCAACAGTACCAGGCCTCACAAACATATCCCATGATATTATTGTCATGCTGAGTGAGGTAATCCCACGCTAGGTCGGACTTAAATATGGCAGCATAGTTTATGACATCTCCTATGAACTGTTTTCTGGCAGCAATTGATTGAGTATCTCTGCCCTTAATTCCAAAGGCAGTGTATATCATACGAGATCCATCAGGATATGTCCATTTCCCGTTTCTGCTGATCCCTCCTATGAACCATCCATCGCCTCTTCCTGTAAGTTGTTTTCAATGAAATATTTATTAAAACATTTATATAAATTTCTTTTTGTCAAGAATTTTATATGAAAATGGGAAATTAAAAAAAACACACACACAGAAGCAGAAAGAGGGTGAAGGAATGTTTTTACAACACTTAACGAGAAAATGAGAAGTTTTTATGGTTTATCAAAATTTAAAGAAAAAAAAAAGAATAATGGTGAAATGAATTAAAAAATAACATTCGCTATTTGTTTTCGGGGGAGGGGGGTTCAGACCTATAGTCAAATAAAATTTAAAATTCGAACTTATTGTCTTTAAATGATATTCTTTTTGGAGGTAAGTGAAGTGTTTCTCCCCATTCAGGCCCATTTGAACTAACATCACATAGCTAATGAAGAATAATGCAAATAAATAAAATAATTAAATTTGGAGAATTTTTTTTTAAATAAGGAAAATCAATGTTGCGAAGTTATCCGTCTAAATAACACTAATTAGGGCCCCGCAAGAATTTGCGGGTGCCCTATAGTATCACTGTCCGTCCGTTTGTCCGTCTGTCATTCTTCCGTCCACAAATTTTCTGTTTTTTTTTCTAATAACTTTTTTTTATAGTTGACCAATTAAGTTCAAGTTTGGTATGTTGGTTGAATAGGCAGTAAGACATATTTTGAAGCTAATTTTTGTTCTCTATTTCATCCAGTTTGGAGATGGGGTGGTGGGGTAGATTCCTTTACATTTATAGAATGAATGCCAGGGCAAAGAGAGATAACTGCTGGGAATGTTCTTATTGTAAACTGTGAAAGCTACAACTAGTCCTGTGGGATTAATTAACTTTCCTCTTGAACAAAATCAAAAGCATTATCTGTTTCGGTCAAAATGAGATTAATTAACACTTCTGTCTGAAAATGAAGTTTATTTTGAAGTTAAGGTCAATTCTGAATGATGTTTACATTCTCTGAAATGTGGAATAAAAAAATGTTTATACTTTATTTTGGTAAAATACACAATGAGTTATGATTTTATTGAATTCTAAAAACAAGATATACTTGATGATATCATTTTATTTTATTTTTTAAATTAATTTATTTTTTTTTTTTGCTGCCTTATGTAAATTCAAGAACACAATTAATTTTAACAGGTAGTCTGATATTAACCTTATTCTATCATTACTGAAAAAGTTCTTTTGTAAACTTGGAAGAAAAGGATGAGAGAGCAGTACAATTAGTCCCCTGGAATTAATTATCTTGCCTAGTGCAGAATATTTTAGAGACTTATCTTTCTTTGTCACTTTAAGATAAATTAACACCTTTGTCTGCAACTGATGTCTCAGTCTGTTTTGAAGTTCAGGTCAAGCCTGGGTGATATTTGCATTCACTGAAGGCTGGTATTTTATAAAAACGCATGCTTTATTTTTTGTTTAAATATACATTTAATTGAGCTATTATAGATATGGTGTTTTTTACTGCCTTGTATAAATACAAGGATACTATTTACAGGTTATTGGATATTTAGGAATTATCTTGAAATTTTATAAACACAGTTGTTGCATATTCTACTTCATATATTTTTAAATTTTTGTAATCAAGTAAAATTCTCATTCTGTAAGCTGCACCCTTATATTTCTACCCCTCGACGGGGCCCTTGCTGACTGGTCAGTTTTCTAGTTCTTGTTTAAATATACATTTAATTGAGTTATTATAGATATAATGTTTTTTACTGCCTTATGTAAATACAGTGATACTCTTTACAGGTTGTTGGATATTTAGGAATTATCTTGAAATTTTATAAACACAGTTGTAATTGCATATTCTTCATATATTTTTAATTTTTGTAATCACTTAAAATTCTCATTCTGTAAGCTGCACCCTTATATTTCTACCCCTCGGCGGGGCCCTTGCTGACTGGTCAGTTTTCTAGTTCATATGATTTAAATTGCAGATATACTGAAATTAGCTTCAGGTTTCAACGACCCCCCCCCCCCACCCCCATGATCGTTTTCATCAAAGACACCTTGTATAATCCACAACGCAAACAATGAATTAGAAAATTAAATAAAATTGTTACAGACCAGTTTCGCACTTAAGCATGTCTTTGATTATCTGGTCCTCTGCTCTGGATTCAATCTTTACCAGGTCCCATCCAATTCCAATGTTTTGGCAATTTCTTCTGGCTTGCTCCCACGAAATTTTGAAAAACCCTGGACTAAAAATCCTGTATTTTTCTCCAAGTGCATTATCTGTGAAGATAGATAAAAGAAAAATTGGTATTATTTTAGTTGTGAAATGTAAAAATTACAGTAATCTTTCTTGCATCTTTTTTTGGGAGATTGTTTTATGTTTTTTGCATTTTTGACAGTTTACCATTAATCAAATTCCTCCTAATGAAGTTGTTTGAGAAGCATAAACATGAAATATGAAGAAAACGAACAGTAATCAATCTGAAAAGTCCATTGAAACAATGCAAATTTTGAGCAGAGCAAACACGGACCTCTAAAACCATCAGAGGTGGAATCAGGTGCCATGGAGGAGTAAATGACCCATTTCGACCGGTCATATCCGCCGTGTGGTCCTTGTCATGATCGGGCAAACGGAAGAATCCATAGACTATTCATTTGAAAATAATGACCTAACATAATGACCTAACAATTTGTATGAAAAACGTGAATCAACATTCGACTTAATGATAAATTTTATTAGCTGACAAGGTTATTGTATCGACCATAGAATTTTAGAAATGCTGATTTTAAACGAGACTGTTGATATTGTTGTTCCAGCAACTTATTTGTCAATAGCTTGCCTCGTTTTAGAAATTGTTCGTACGTAGAGCATGCTATTGGGTATCAAATCAACTGGGCGACATAAACTCCATATGCAGGTGATAATGACATATTGCTACATAAATAAGGGAAGTTGACGTTAGAAAAGTTGGAAGTCGTCACGTTTATTAAAAAGTGTTCTTGTTAGGTTACCATTAACGTCTTTTTTTTCTAGGAAAATATCCAAATATGAAACAGATGTGTCAGACTCTTTGGTATCTCTTATTTCAATTTCAAAGGGGTATATCGAATCAACATAGGAATGAAAATTAATATTGTTAATTAATATAACGTCGTCGATATATCTAAGTGTTGAATTGAAGGCCACAACATATGTAAGAATACTCGTAAAATTTGACATATTCCAAAAATTTATATACATGTATACCGTATATATTAAAAAAAACTACATGTTTGTTATGTTTTATTCTTTAGTTGCTAACTGCAGTGATCATATCTCCAGACAATTTAATATATAATCCATACTTACCAAAAGTGAATACTAAGGCAAGAATGAATACACCAAAAATTGTCTGAAAAGTAGATATGTATTGTAAAAATACTGCATGGAAAGCAAAACTTGAAATCGCCCAATATCATGCATTCGACCTCTAGATTTTTTATATCTACATGTATGTATGTTTTGCAATATAAAGTGTATTCTCTATTTATTCACTTCATATATAAAAACAGAATTGTACAAAAAAAAAAAAAAATGCGAATGGTTTTGATTTGAGCTTGTTTGCAATGTCATTAATATTTTTTATCACTTAATATTTATAGTAGCCGACCAAAAGAACCAAAAGGAAACTCCTCATTTTTGTAAGTGGGTGTGGAGGTGTAGCTATTACAGAGAGAAAATTTGTTAACTTCATGTACTGTTTTAGTAATTAGAAGTGGTGCATTTTTTTTAGGAGGATCCAAAAACATTTTAGCCTGTTTAACTACGTTATTTTAACATGTTTAAGAGCAGTGAAAAAACGGGGAGGGGGAAACAGTTTCTTCTTTGGCTACACTTGGATTCTTAACAATAACCAAATTAATTTTTATTTCGGTAATGTAATTTTATGATATCGAATAATCTTAACATTGATATAATTTTTCAGTTTCTTTATTGCGACCTGAAATTTGTACCTGGCATTGTATCTTAAGTAAAAAAAATTATACTTACCATTCTCATGCAACAGATAATATTATGTTAAACGAACTGCTAAACCTTCATCAGGCGTAGCAGTTTTATAGACCGGCCATGTCTTCACAGATGTTCGTTATGATTTAAAGCAGGTTTAAGGCACAGCCTCCAGAGTAGTGATTCATTATGAGAAACGTGCTGTTTTCAATAATTAAAATTTTAAAATGATCAATTTTAGTTTTGGAATCAAAGTTTTGGGAAAAACATAATGCCATACCTGTAATACAAAGAATATAAATAAAAAGGTCTGCATTTTAAAACATAAATTTCGTTTTCATTACTAGTATACTTTTTGATATTTTCTTTATCTTTCAATTGAAGCTAAAGATAACGTTCACTAAAGAAATAATTTTGGATATAAGGTTACTAGTTTGTCATCAGTTTTAATCAATATTGTATCGATAAATTTACAAATACATGTGTTTATCAATAATAAATTGACGAGGAATTGAGATCGAGATTGAAAACAAGTGGTTGATGTTAAGTGCAAGTCTCTGTAAGAATCAGGCAGAGTAGGTTTGAAAGTGAATCATGAAGGTTCTCAGAATTTGATATTTTCAACATATAGATTTCTCGTGCTATGAACCATGTATGCAAAGTGAAAAAGTTTTGGGTCATGGTTACTATGGAAACATGACAAAAGAAATTTCCTTAGCAACCAGTCAGTTTTCCATGTGTATGGACAAAAAATCACTAATCTTTAGGGCTTGAAATTGATTGTAAATATTTAAGAATTTCTTCTTATTTATTCTTATCGTTAAGATAAACATTTAAAGTGTTTTCAAAATGCGATACAGATATAAGATTTTAAGGTATATCTGTACTAGACATGGGTAGATATGCATGTTTTGTGTTTTTTGCTGATTCAGCATTTTTGTTGATTTTAGTATTTTTCAAGGCCTTATTGCTCAAACTTCTGGCGTAATACAGGAGTTGCAGATATTTCCCATAAAAACAAAGGAATTTGCAGAGGAACAGCAAATTCTCCATAGCAACAAAGCAAATAAAGTCACTTTTGGCACATATTTATGAACAATTGTAAAATATTAATCCACAGTTTGGTAGCATATTGCGATTAATCAAATTTGATTTTGTAATAGATGTCTTAGCAAAGTACGTTTTTATAATTTTAACCCATTTTTATACTTTTAACCCATGGCAACAACATTTGAGCACATAAGAACCAAAACATGTTATGGAGAGTTAATTAAGAGCAATTTTCTGTAACCACTTGATTTTTTTTTGTTTGGCACGCATGGTCACCGATTTTCATGAAACTTTGCTCATTATAATAGTTATAATAGTTTGACAACAGAATTTTAAATCAGTCAAAGTTTGGTTGCTATGTTCCTTGGTTGTCATGGTAACAGACAGGATGATTTCAACAAAATTTAGATTTTCGGATACTTTGAATCGTTATTGATCCTTCACAAGCACTTAGAAAACCAAATTGGCCATTCACATATAAAAAAAAAACAATAAACCTTTTTGCCACTTACAATGTAAAGAAAGTCTTTGGAATATATCTCTATATAGGTGGTAACCATGGCTATACACAGCATACATTTTATACGCAGAAAAACGCTCAGTATTTGTTACATGACTTAATCCAAAACAAGAAACAATAAAAATAGTTTGCCTTTTGAAAAGAGGTTTTAGCAATATTATTCTAACAATTAAAATATCGGCTGCCATGATAACACATCATTTGTGCCTTAGTTATAACCCAGCAAACAAAGATTGGGGTATAAAGGAATCACTTCGTCTGTCTGTCTGTCTCTGTATTCTTTTGTCTGTGCAATCATTATGGGGTTTTAACTTTGTAATGGAGAAAGATTGAACGTTCATTTTTGATAAAACCATTGTTTATAATCTGAGGTTGAATTTTGACTTAAACGTTTAACCCAAGGTCACTTCGCCCTATTCAAGGTCGTTGGCAGTAAATAGTGTAAAATTCTAACACATCCAGAGCAAAGATAATTCTCACTTGTTTTAAACAGAGTATATATTTTTAATTGCTATCTTCTTAATGAAGTAATACTTAAGGTCAAAATAATTTGTCTCCATAATGAATAAATTTGAATGTTTTGATTTATGTTTTTCTTCTTCAGTGTATAAGTATAGGGTGATTAAGAAATTGTAAGTTGTCCTTGGAAATATACAACGTGCAAAATTGAATGAATTACAGTTTTTTCATCTATGTTGAGATAATCTATCAAACAATAAAACCAAATGACCTTCATGCATTCGAAATATTATTAATCATGGCATGAATTAATTTGAAAAAATATCACCATTGGCTATTTTTTGTTTCGAAACAACACAGCGTGTTGTCGATTGAAGTCTATATATATGTTGGAGAAAATGAGGTGAAAAAGTTAAAAACCCAGATCTGACAACATGGTAAGAGCAAATTTTACTTTATTTGTAAAATAAAATGTGACATTTGTATTTGTGATTTTAATTTCGTTTTGATTTAATGTAACTTTATTACATTCTCTTTCGTGGTATCAAATGAATATCCGTATTTTATAGAACACAATTTCTATATTGGTTGCTGTTGTACTTTTAAGCATTGCAGGTAAGTATAAAAATCTTTCTTATGTATCAGTAAGGTACTTTTCTACCAAAAGAAGTTTCATTATCAGTTAAATGAAAAACGAGATAAGTAGACGTCTTTAAAAAAAATAAATATAGGCAATCAACATTTATCATAATTATCATTCAAGTCATAAAGGTTAAATTAACAGCTTATCAAAAATTAACATTCATATGATATATCATTCCATCAGTAGTCAAGTAGAAGGAAGAGCAGATTTCACCAGAGACAATATTATGTCCTCTAAAATTTCAAAAAAGAATAGATAAATAAATAAAAAATAATAATAATAATTTGAAAACTGTTTAAATTTCAGAGGAAGATGCTTTAGATGTCAACTGTGATAACAATTTTCGCTAAAGTAAATCTTGCTCTTTGCAATAATTTTCTTATTCCTGCTTCTATTTAAGGAATAACAGAAGCAATGTACCTAATTATTCCACCAAATCGTGGTATAAGAAACTGGGACGATGCAGTTACCTTTTGCCGAAGACGTTCAGCCAGAATTGCAAAGATTGATAGTGCAAGCGAATGGAATGCTCTGTATGATATCCTCAAATGTGAAAATGGTAAGTCAACCCTTACAGTGGGGACACTTGGACAGAATAATGCTGGACAAATCCCTAACTTCTAAAAAACTTGGTCAGTAGAACTGCACGTCAATTCCTAAGAAAGAGAAAACTTGAACAGTATGATTGTCCTAGAGAGTGATTTCTTTCCCAAAATTACATATCCACTGGAAGAAGGGTCTTAAACAAAAAATTATTCTGTTTTTTTTTCCCTTTAAAATGTGATCATGTTAAAACAGTCTGATTGTACACACAAGTACTCTGAAGATGATGTTAAAAAGATGCTTGAGTTTCTGATTGACAATATCTATGTAGTTTTTGGAGATCAGCAACAATCTTCCAACAATCTGTCGGAATCCCAAACCATGGGTACCAATTGCGACCCGTTATTAGCAGACCTATTTTTGTATTCATATGAAGCAGAATTTATTCAAAAACTTAAACATACATGAGAAGAAGAAGACACTTTCTGTGGCCTTAACTCGACCTTTAGATCTATCGACGACCTATTATCAATTAACAATAGTTACTTCCATTCATATGTCAACTCGATATATCCCAGTGAACTTGAAATAAAAAATACCAAAGAGTCTGTCACAATTATTTCATATTTGGATATTTTATTAGAAAAAGACGTTAATAGTAACCTAACAAAAGTCTCGTTTAAAGTCATCATTTCGCAAGTTCTATGGTCCGTACAATGACTTTGTCAGCAAATACAATCTATCATAAAGTCGAATGTTGTCTGACGTTTTTCATACCAATTGTAAACCATTAAACACTGAATTTTCTAAGGATTTTTCCGTCTTTCTCGGTCATGACGAAGAGCACACGGCGGGTGATGCTTACTCCTTCATGGCACCTGATCCCACCTCTGATGTTTTTTTTAGAGGTCCGTGTTTGTTCTGCTTCCGATTTTTATTGTTTCAATGGACTTTTGAGCTTGATTACCGTTCGTTATCTCCAATTTCATTCTAAATGATTGAGGCTTATTAACATTTTCAATACAAAGAAATTCTGAACGACGTGAATGGCTTCATTTTTGAAAACTTAAACTTCCCATGCTGTATATTTGTCGTTTTAAATCATGATCAGGATATATCTGAATTTTGAATTTTCTGTCTTTAACTTGTTTTAGTGTGATTGCCTTTCACTTCAGCATGTTTTTGATTATAGATAAAGGAGATGGCTGGTATATCGGAGGAAAGGCAAGAAATGGAAAATGGTATTGGGAAGACGGGTCATATATGGCATACAAAAACTTCGCTCCAAACTTTCAATTATTCCCACAGGAGGCGACTACCAGAACCGTCTACAATTATGCCTTTGTACCGTCTTTGGGCCGTTACTGGAAATATGTATCCCCTCGATCATCCAATATTCTTGGAGTCATTTGTGAGAAGACTTGTTGATATTGCAAATAAATCTTTCTTTTTATTTTTTAGTTTCTCATTTTCGCTAAAGAGCAAGCCAGGGATAACTGATGGTAGGTAAAAAGATCTAATGAAAGAATTCCTTTGTAAATATTATTAACTTATGTGGCCATTTGAAACGATAATTATATTATATTTTTAAAAATACAATCCTTAACGTGTTTGCAGAAGCTATGCGAATTTACGTGTTAGTCACGTGAGCTGTCACCATTTAGAATGTATTTAAGTTATATATATGGTGAATCAAAAGCCGCTGTATGTACTTATACATACAGGCATATAATAAAGGTAGTGACTGTTCCTTCGCTAAGCTCCCGGCATTAGAAGTGAAAGTCACGGGTCTTTCAGACACGACCTTAAAAACGTAGGCCCCGTGTCCAGATAAGTCAAGTGTAATGTTTTTGTCTATATGTTTATGTTTGATCAGATTCACCACACTAAAATTTGGTGGAAAAACTCTAACCCCAACGGACCGTCATGGTAGCTCAGTCGGTAGAGCGCTCACTCCGTGATCAGAAGATCGTGTGTTCGAATCACGGCCGCGACTGACCTAAGTCGATAAAAAAAAAAGGTATTAACTGTTCTTTCGCCAAGCGCTCGGCACTTTGAAGTGAAAGGTGTGGGTCCTTCGGATGAGACCTTTAAAACCGAGGCCCCGTATCACTGTAGGCGTTGACACGATAGAGAACCCTCACTGCTCAATGGCCCTGAGTGCCGAGTAAAGCTCTAAATTTGAAGCCCTTCAGCGGTATATGGCGACGTCTATATATGCGTGAAAAATTCTCGAACGGGACGTAAAACAACATACAATCAATCAATCTTACCCCAACGGAGAAATCCAATCGAACACAACCTTTCAAATCAAGATCGAATGAAAAGCCAGATAATAATGGTCCATCTCAAAACACATGACCTTTGATATATATAGGTACATGTATATACAATGAAATATATGGAGATTAAGAACAGTATTCAAGCTCAAAAGTCCATTAAACAATACAAAATAGGAGCAGAGCAAACAAGGACCTCCAAACATCAGAGGTGGGATCAGGTGCAATGGAGGAGTGAGCATCCCCTGCCGACCGGTCACACCCGCCGTGTGCTCCTTGTCGTGATCGGGAAATATCGGAAAAATCCGTCGACAATTCAGTGTGTAAATAATGGCCTAACAATTAGTATGAAAAACGTCAGTCAGCATTTGACTCAATGATAAATTGTATTTGCTGACAAGGTCAAGAAAGAGAGAAATAAGGGGAGGATTTAAGTTTTGAATAACAAATTTAAATAAGAGTTAAAACATATTCTGGCAAGATGCATAACTTTATTAGCTCACCTAAGCTGAAAGTTCAAGTGAGCTTTTCTGATCACCCGCTGTCCGTCGTCCGTCCGTCCGTCCGTCTGTAAACTTTTCACATTTTCAACTTCTTCTCAAGAACCACTGGGCCAATTTTAACCAAACTTGGTACAAAGCATTCTTATGTAAAGGGGAGTTTAAATTATAAAAATGAAGGGCCAAGCCCCCTTCCAAGGGGAGATATTCAAGAAAAGACAAAAATAAGGTACGGTCATTAAACAATCTTCTCAAGAACCACTGGGCCAGAAAAGCTGAAACGTAAGTGGCAGCATTCTGGGGTAGTGTAAATTCTAAATTTTTCAAGTCATGACCCCCAGGGGTAGGGCGGGGCCACGATAGGGAATCCAAGTTTTACATTGAAATATGTAGTAAAAATCTTTCAAAATCTTCTCAAGAACCACGGCCAGAAAAGCTGAAACTTAAGTGGAAGCATCCTGGGGAAGTGTAGATTATAAATTGTTCAAATCATGACCCCAGAGGATAGGGCGGGGCCACAATAGGGAATTCAAGTTTTACATTGAAATATGTAGAAAAAATCTTTAAAAATCATCTTCTCAAGAACCACTGGGCCAGAAAGGCTGAAACTTATGTGGACGCATCTTTGGGCAGTGTAGATTCTAATTGTTCAAATCATGACCCCCGCGGGTGGGGCGGGACCACAATAGGGAATCCAAGTTTTACATTAAAATATGTAGTAAAAATCTTTTAAAATCTTCTTCTCAAGAACCACAGGGCCAGAAAGGCTAAAACTTAAGTGGAAGCATCCTGGGGTAGTGTAGATTCTAATTTGTTCAAATCATGACCCCTGGGGGTAGGGCGGGGCCACAATAAGTACTACAAGGGGAGAGGGAATCAGGTGAAAAACAGCAAGGCCAAAGTTACTCAGGTGAGCGTTGTTGCCCATGGGCCTCTTGTTTATCTACAAAATTCAACACTATTACTGTAATATAACATAACTTTGCTAAAAACTCCTTGAACAAATAAAAAAGCAACCTATTAGATGTCACAATTTGTTGACAAGACAAAAAGGATGACCCATGCAATACAGTTGCTGGAATGTTTTACAAAAAGTATTACCAATATTTAAGTAACTGCTATCTGTTTTACCCGTCGTATTGCGATGTTAGTGTTAACCTTTGAATATTTTTAGTGTCTCCTATTGAACAGCTGAACCTATTTTAAACAATTTTGGCATGTTTGGCATGCATTTTGGCATTCATCCTTGGGTAATTTTATGGTTAGGGAAGAACAAAAATTATAAATTTCATTGTCTATGCCTTCTTTTAGTCCTAGGGGTGGGGCCAAATCCATCAAATTTACGGTTTTTAGAAGAAGTGTGTCCCTTTATAATAGATTCAATTTAAAGAAATAAAGCAAAGTTTAGGTCATATTGTCTCTGAAACTTCAGGAATCCCGACTATCATTACATTATAAAAGAATATGGATAGTAATTGCTGAAATTTCATTTTCCTTAAGCGACCATATTACTGCACCTTAGGTGCCCAGATTCTAAAGTCTAATATTTAATTAAAAAGAAAAAAAGGATGATAGGAAACAAGCATTTATATACATATGTACAAAACAAGTCACGTTTTCAAAATATTAGTTTTGTCAGAAATATATGCAGCTCTCATAATTATTTTTTAATCACTACAATGCCGGGGACGACAATTTTATTTCAAGCATTCTTAGATAACTCGTACATCAGAATATCACTTATCTACCAAACCAAGCAAGTACACCATACTTGAACAACACATGTGTATGTGCTAAGAAACTGACACATGCACTTCCGTTTTTTACTGTATTTTACAAATACTTCCTAGTTAAACAATCATTTTTTTAAAATAGACAACACAGTACACAATGGTATTTAAGGTGCTTTGTTATCTCCATTTGGGTAAGTACATTTCATGCCGTTAATATCGTCAGTTCTGCTCGTGTTTTACGTAACAATTTAAGTATGTTTTACCCGAACTTTCTATAAAAAGTTCGGATATATTGTTGTTATCCTGGTCTGTACGTCTGTCTGTCACACTAACCTTACATTTCAAGCAGTAGTCAAATTATCTTTTGGAATATGATTGGTGGTGCTTTGAACATGTGCAAAAAGATTTCAAAATTTTCAGTTTCACCCTTAGGGGCCAAATGGGGTAAAAAAGGGACTTTTTTTTTTTTTTACCAAAACCTAGTTCGCTAAACTCCTCTTACATTTTTTGCAGTAGCCATTCATATTTTTAAATATGATTGGGTGAAATATGTGGAGATAACGAACAGTATTGAAGCTCAAAAGTCCATTAAACATTACAAAACAGGAACAGAGCAAACACGGACTTCTAAGACATCAGAGGTGGGATCAGGTGCCATGGAGGAGTGCCGACCGGTCACACCCGCCGTATGCTCTTTGTCATGATCGGGAAACAACGGAAAAATCCGTCGACAATTCAGTGTGTAAATAATGGGCTAACAATTAGTATGAAAAAAGTCAGTCAGCATTTGACTTTATGATAGATTGTTTTTGCTGACAAGGTCATTGTATCGACCATAGAACTTACGAAATGATGACTTTAAACGAGACTGCTGATATTCTTGTTTCATCAACTTGTTTGTCAATAACTTACCTCGTTTTAGAAATTGTTCATACGTAGAGCATGCTCTTGCGTATCGAATCCACTGAGAGATATAAACCCCGTATGCAGGTGAAAGGGTATATTGCTGCATAGGTAAGGAAGTTGACGATTGAAAAGTTAAAGTCATTGGTGTATCCTGTAGATGTGCAATAAGGTTTCGGAATTTTGATTTTCCCCCTGAGGGCGATTGGGGTTCAAAAAAGGTTTTTCTAGAAAAACCCGGTTCCTTGAACTCCTCATACATTTTTGTAGTAGCCATAACATCTATTGGAATATGATTGAAGGTGTCCTTTAGATGTGCAATAAGGTTTTGGAATTTTGATTTTCAACGTGGACGAAATAGGGGTAAAAAAGTAATTTTTTGTTTACAAAAACCAAGTTCCCTGAACTCCTCTTACATTTTTTTACAGTAGCCAACTCATCTTTTTGAATGTGATTGGTTGTGTCCTGTACAGTGCAATAAGATTCTTGAATTTTGAAATTTTCACAGTAGGGAGCAAATGGGGGTAAAAAAAAAAATGTTACTGTTTACATAAACCTGGTTTCTTGAACTCGTCTTACATGTGACTTTAGATTTTGGAATTTCGATTGTCACCCGTAGCAATTTAGGGTCGAAAATCTTTTTTAGAAGAAAAAACCTGTTTATGTGCGACAATCTTATTAAAATCATTTTCAAAATATAAGACTACGAGGGTTGTCCCAGAAAAACACGAACTTTTTGAAGATATTGAAAATGTTCGCGTATTTCTGGGACAACCCTCGTATTTTTATTATTCAATGATTGGGGTGATCTCCCTCCCCTTCATCCTGGGGACTTGACTCTTTCTAAAGTTCTGTTATATTGTTGTTATCCTGGTCCTTCCGTCCATCTGTCACAAAAACTTGAAATTTTCATTTTCACCTTCAGTGCCAATTGGGGTCAAAAACAATATCTTTCTGAAAAAAAAACTGGTTATCTGAACGTCTCTTACATTTTTCGCAGTAGCCCATTCATATTTTGAAGTTTTTGACAAGGGGAATAAGGTTAAGATATTTATGAATTTTAGGGGTTTTGAATATTTATGACCAGAGATTGGAAATGAATTTATTATATAAAATAATTACAAAAGAGGCCCATGGGCTACATGCTTACTTGAACATTTTATACTCAATTTGATACAGTGTATATATTTTGTGTATATTTTAGAATTATTGTGGCTTCTTCTCGGTTACACAAATATGAAGGAGAGTATATTTTTAGAGGCAAACACCTATGTGCGGGTATTACTGTCTTATGACAATATTTAATTATACCCGCACTTTCTAAAGAAATTAAGTACGGTTATATTGTCGTTATCCTGGTCCGTCTGTCATTCCTGTAATTCATCTTACAATTTAAGCAGTAAGAAACTCGTCTTTTGGAATATGATAGGTTGTGTCCTGGAGATGCAATAAGGTTTCAATGAGTTTTCATTTTCATCCTAGGGGCCAAATTGGACTTGTTTCTTCTAAAAAGACCTGCTTCCCAAAACTCCTCTTACATTTTACAGTATAGCCAAATCATATTTTGCAAGATGATTGCTGGTGTCCTGTAGATGTGCAGTAAGGTTTCGCCCTGGGTGTCAAATGTGGGTCGAAAAATGATGTTTTTACAGAAACCTGATTTCAAGAAATCCTCATACATTTTACACAGTAACCAAATCATCTTTGGAAGGTGATTGGTGGTGTCCTGTAAATGTGCAATAATGCTTCGGAATTTTCATTTTCCCCTTAGGAGTTAAATGGGGAAACACGATTTCTTTGGTTTAAAAAAAAAACATGGTTTCCAAAACTCCGCCATTTTGTTACGCAGTTGCCATTTAATCTTTTGCAAGATAATAAGGGGTGTCCTGCAGATAAGCAATAAGCTTTCGGAATATTCATTTTCATCCTAGAAGTCAAATGCGGGTCGAAAAACAACGTTTTTCATTTTACAAAAACCTGGGGCCCGTTTTACAAAAGAACTTACGACTAAGACCAAATAATTAAATTGATTGTAATTTTTGCAAAATTAATTATTCTGTTTAAAATTGCTAGAATAAAAATATCTTAATACATTCCTTTTAAAAAGATTAAAACCATTTTCAATATAATTTAGATTTAAAAAGTTACAAGCAGAATTAAATTTTGGTCTTAGTCCTAAGTTCTTTTGTAAAACGGGCCCCTGGTACCCAGAACTCCTCATACATTTTACATAGTAGTAATTCTCATCTTTTGCAAGATGATTTGGGGTGTTCTGAAGAGATGTGCAATAAGGTTTCGGAATTTTCATTTTCACCCTTGGGGCTAAATAGGGTCGAAAACGATGTTTTTTCATATTACAAAACCTGGTTCCCAGAACTCTTACATTTAACGCAGTAGCCTTTTCATCTTTTGCAAGATGACTGGGGGTATTCTGCAGATGTGCAATAAGCTTTTTGAATTTATATTTTCAAATGGGGGGGGGGGGGTTCGAAAAATGACATTTCTATTTGACAAAAACCTTATTCCCAGAACATTTCGTACATTTAATAGGCCCGCAGCAACATTTTTTAAGAGGGGGGGGGCAACGTTCCAAAAAAAATGCGATTGCTCGACCTTACTTCAACAAAGTGGGGAGGAGGGACAACCGGCATCTAAATGAAAATTTACTATAGCAAAATACTAAACTTAGAAAACGTGGAAAGCCCCCCCCCCCCTTCTAAGGCCTACATTTTACACAGTTAAATCATCTTTTGCAAGATGATTAGGGGTGTTCTGTTACTTTGCATTGGGCCAAATGGAGGGGGGGGGGGTCAAAAATTGATGTTTTCAACTTCCGAAATTATTTTACTATATTTTTTTCTTTACAAAACCCCCCCCAATTTTTTCTGTAATTTCCGCTATGAAAATCAGACTTACCTCATCACAGTCTTTAATTTCAGACCGGTATTGAATTTTTTATTTAAAATACTAGCATAAAAGGCCCATGGGCATGTGCTCACCTGTGCGTGTTATGCTAAATTTGATACATGTATACATAATGTTTATGTAAATTTGTAGCTTCTTTGTTATCCAGGTATACAAAGGAGCTACCATAAATTTAGAGGCAAGCACTAATGTGCGGGTAATACTGTCTTATTACAGTTTGCATTGAAGACATCGCAGAATTTATTATCTAAACCCTTTCATGCTTCGATAGTAATTCGGAAAAAGATCTGGATACTCAGTAATTTATTTACTTAAATCAGAAAAAAGTATTTTAATCGCACATATGACCAATAACAATACAACTTTCTGTATACAATGTATGTTAATTGGGTTAAGATTTTCAAGTGCATGCATGGAGTCGAATTTTGTTGGATGAAACTGCTTACGTATGCTTTTCCTTTGAAGCCTTTATTGTAGGAAGTGAAGACAAGAACAATGAGTCGCAACCCGTACGTAATATGACCAAACCAATAATTACGAGAGGTATGTGTTAAAACTATATCATATTTGATTAAAATTGTGCTGAATTTGTAATTTAGGTGTAATAGATATTGATATTTCAAGACTCTTAAAAATATAAAACACCATGTAAAACGACTTATTTAAATTATTTGAAATAGGATGCCACAGCATTTCATTGGAAACTCTCTCACGAACGAGAAATACCTCGCTAGAGAAGAACAATGTCACCAATTGTTATCAATTCTGTTTCTTCAACCAATCAGAATTAGCTGGAAATGCTCTACTTATGAAGGTAAATCTTTTCTATGGTCTATTTTAGTGATTATACTGTCATAGCTGTAGTCAATAATAGACAGCAATTTTATATCTTCAAAATTCGACAATATAATTATTATTCTGTAAAACGAGAGCAGTAACATATAGTTTCTATTTACCACAATAGGGAACGGAGTGTGTTTGTGCTGCAGTTACTCCACGTACATCATTTGATACTGCAAAACGCTGCAATGAACGTTGTCCTGGAAATTCAAATCAAAGCTGCGGTGGCAATGGCACGAGCACTTATGCAGTGTATGAGATAGGTACAATGGCGCTTCTAAATATGCGAATTCATTTAATTTTTATTTTTAAGACGATTCATTAATTACTTATTTTTATTTTATTTATTTGTTTGTAAACTTTTTACTCAGCAGCTATAGTTCCAAAGGTTCGACGAAATTACTTTGCATCCATCCGTCCGTTTGTCTGTAAATAATCACTAACCTAATTAACTAAAGCATTAAACATGCCTAAATCATATAATAAGGTTGCATAAGGTAAATCCCATTTCATTCTTAAAACTGTGTTAGTTTGAAACTTAATTTTGTTAGGTATTAGGTAACTTGTATTTAAATTTGACCAACCATTTTTGTTATTTTATGGAAAAGAACACTTTACAGGTTTAAAGTTCACAGGTGCTCTTCTTTAGCCCACAAGATTCGAATCAACATTACTTAGTAGGAGGCTTGCATATTGACTACATGTATTTAAATCCTGAGTGCTCTGAAGAAAGAGTTCCTTGAAAGATTTTTATTTTTACATATCCCTCTGAGCTTCTATATCGTTACTCCACCCCTCCTCAGGTGAATACTACTTTTTTCAAGCTACTACCTTTATTTTTGACTTTGAAGTTTGAATTTCAAACTGAAATAGTTAGCTTCATGAATTTTCAAAATATTACTTTGAATTACTTTGAATATTTAAGATAGTACATTGTACGTATATGATATCTTGAATTTTCAACCATGTAAGTATACATACATACACACAAAAATGGTGTACGAGAGGATTCTCGTATACTTGAACGTTCCATACAATGTTTAACATGCTATATGTGAGACAATTTATCAGACATGACATTCTTTGACGTCAGACAATTTATCATACAGAACATTCTTTCTTAATATAATATCTTTATTTCAGAGAAGATCACCAGCAATGACCAAAAGGAAGGTTGTGGATTTGTCGAATTTCAGCGACATATAGTTAACCAGACGTTGGAGTATGGTGATTGCAATGAGATGATAATGGCATACTGCACAAAGCTGGCCAACAGTAAAGAAGTTTTAATGATTAAAAAATATTCTTTTACTCGGGACAGGCATGTTATATGATCTGCCTGCTTAGCATCAATTTTATTCTAAGCTTAGCTTGATGTTGTATGAACAATTTCGACAGTTTTTCAAATTTTTCTGTTTCTTTGTCTTGAAGAATGGCCTGATATTTATTGAAAATTGATATTTTGTTCTGTTGTTGTTCTTTGTAACTTCGTTTGATAATCTTCATTTGTAACTGATATTGTATCTGCATGTACACCTCAAAATATTCCCGACAATATAGGATATTAGGTTATATTGTTTTTATTAAGTTCACACACACACACACACCCTCACACACACACACACCTCGAAAACTTACACCTTAGACAGTAAGTTGTCTATTAAATAAGGGATCACCCGTATGTGAAGATTCCAGATGGAGTGGAAAAGCAGTTGCGTGAAGAACAAGCTGGCTTTATAAGAACTATTTACAATCCGTAACATCATAGAACGATGTACCGAATGGAATTCAGCATTGTTTGTTAACTATGTTGATTTTTAGAAGGCGTTTGACTCAAATCATAGAGAGAATCTTTGATTTACCATGAAGTTCTAATGCATTCCAGACAACACTGGACAGAATGGTTAAACGCCTACATGATTCATTACAATGTGCAGTCCTAGAAGACGGCGAAGAATCCGACTGACTGGTTCCAAGAACAACAGAAGCGAAGCAGGGTTGCACAATGTTTGGATATCTGTTTTTTCTGGTTATACACTTTACATTATATTAATAAATTACAAAAAGAAAACCTATTGAGATAAAGTGGAACTTCTCCACAAAACTTGTAGATCTAAATTTCGCATACGACTTGTCCTAATTTCCTCGAAATCTCAGGACACAAAATAAGACACAAAGACTAAACAAACATTCAAGTCGAGTTGGCCTCCGAATAAATAATATGAAAACCAAAGTAATGAGACTCAACTCTTTCATAAGAGATTCGGTAAAGATCGATGGTCAAAACCTAGAGGATGTAGAAACATTTACTTACCTTGGAGGTGTGATAACAACAAAACGAGGATCGGACAAGGACATTACCAACACATTGGGAAAAGCTAAATCTCAATGTAGAAGGCTCAGAAAAATCTGGAGCTCATTAAAGTTTTCCATTCAGACAAAGGTTAAGTTATTTAGCAGCTTGATCCTGTCCGTTCTCATGTATACAAGCGATACTTGAAAAAAAGAATAGATGCCAGAGAAACTTCCTGTGAGTAAGATTGTCTGATAAAATATCGAATTAAGAACTCCATCATATAACAAAAAACAACAATAAATAATAACTCCGAGGAAGTGGGGTTGGATTGTCCATGTACTAGGGGTGGAGAACAACAGGATTTGTGTCACCGCACTGATATGACACCCAGAAGTAGACTGGCCAAAAACAACCTGGAGAGGAATTTCGTAGCAGGAACGGTTACAGTTGGGTGGACTAGACCCAGCAAGGGCAACAACCAGAGACAGAGGCAGTGAGGAGCAGTGATTTTGGCTATATATGTCAGCAGACACAAAGATGGGTAAAGTGAGACCCTTATATGACATCATAGAATTTTGCACAGTCAATCATACAATCATTAAATTTCATGCTTTCACCTTTGTAGAAATGTTTGACAATAAGTTGGATGAAAAATATAGTGAAGTAAAATATTTTTTCAATCATTTATTCTTTAAGATACACGGTCATGCAGAAAAGATTTTTTTAAAAGAGGTCCATGGGCCACAACGCTCATAGTCACTATGATCCTGTTGTTCTTACTCGGGAGGTTTTTCCCTATATATTCCTATGTAAAACTCAGATCGCTTATTGTGGCCCTACCCTAACCCCCGAGCGTCACAACAAACTTGAATCTGTACTACCTGAGTATGCTTCTTTATTAATATGACGAAACAGGACTTTTCTGTTCTTGAGAAGAAAAATTTTAAAGACCAATTCCTATACATGTATATTCCTATAAAAATTCGTTCGCTTATTTTGGCCCCATCCTATCCCCGGTGGTCATGATTTGAACAAACTTGAATATACATTATGTAATGAACCTTTCATATAAGTTTCATTTTTTCTGACCCAGTGGTTCTCGAGAAGAAGATTTTTAAACGGTGCAATTAAATTTTCACAAATTCTAAATCATCTCCCTTTGAAAGAGGGTGTGTCTCTTCAGTATAACAAACTTGAATCCCCTTTACCCAAGGATGCTTTTTAGCAAGTTATGTTAAAACTGGCAAAGCGGTTTTTAATAAGTCGGCTCAGGTGAGCTAAAAAGGAAAAAATTGAATGGTCTTACAAATACTGTTCACTTCTTTAAAGTATAAGTTTTCATTAAATTGGAGGTTTTGAAACTAAAAAAAAAATTATTTTATGGGAATAAAAATGCCCTGGTCCAGAATAAAATTATTGCTTCGCTCCTCCCTCCTGAGTGTATGTGTACCTGTACACAAAAAATAATAGCTTCAAGTCCCAAAAATATGTCCCCAAAGTATACGGAAAAATTTGACCGAATCTTCGAGAAAGATAATCAGAACATGTTCTTTACCTTAGCATCCGATTCAATATAAATAAGTCATATGATGTTGACATTTCAGTTTACTGCACTCATTTGAGTGCAATTGAGTTTACCCTAACAAAAACACTCTAGTTAACTATACCTAACTAAAGTTTACTATAGTTAACTATAGTTTACTATAGTATCAGTTTTTACTATAGTAAATCATAGTATTTTTACTTTTGATTTCGGATTTTTATAATATTTCTTGTTCTTCAATTCATACATGCACATATTTTATATTAAATGGAACTATTATTTATATTTTTACACATTATTTACAAATTGTTGCATCACTGCTATCGAATTTAAGAGATTTTAAGCTTTGAAATCTCAAAAAAAAGTACCATAAACTTTCATAGTAAATCTATAGTAAATTATATTAACTATAGTAAATTTTTGTTACGGAATTATCAAAACAATTGCTTTACTCATATTTTTTTTTATACATCTTTCGATTTCTGACACAAATATCATAAAAGAAATATTTATGCATTTCTTCGCTCATGTATTTTTATTAACATTATATATCTATTATATAATGGTTTTCCTGATACCGAAAATTTGAATATATTCATTGAGTAATTATTCGAAACTTTTTATCATAAAATGATTTATTTGAATAAGTTTTCATGCATTTTAGAAATGCTGTTTAAAAAAGTGTGCGATTTTTCTACAGTGATATACACTTCTCCGAGGGAAAATCGGGAGGAAATATTCAAAACGCATCATATTACTTTGTAAATTTATAAAAGCCAATTTTTTTTTTACTGGGCATTTAATTTATTATTTTGCAAAAGTAGAGTTCATCATCCCTCATTTCGGCATTCATGTAAAGGAGATGGGCGAACATAGCGTGCAGAAAGCCTATAGCTTCAGATATATAAAAATCATGTTCAGTTTGTGAATTTAGTATTTAGAGTAAAGTTCTCATTATTGACATTTATGAAATTATGATAAACAAAACTTTTCTGAGGAAAATTTTCTCGGCAAAATTTATTCTTTTATTAAGGACATACGCAACGTACCTTACCTACTGATAATTTTTCGAGATATTTTTAATTTAAGATTATAGTGTCATCAGATGTTCGTAGACAAAAAATCAGCATGCATTACCAGGGGTTTTGAAAAGATATCAATTGATGAAAATTCTCGTATAATTCAAAGAAAAATATACAAAAATAACTAAACATATAGTCTAGATAATTTGTTTATCTAAACTTGTTTTAGAAGAAGTGTACAACAGCATATATAGACAAAAAAAATGTAGCACATAGTTCCTTTAAGTATTGGAACTCTTCAACTCCAGGGAAAAAGACAATAAAGTTCAAACTATGTTGCGTATGTCCTTAAAAAAATAAATATGTGGTATTCATGGGGTTCGAACCCTGGCAATAAAAATCCTGAGTATTATTTTCTTTCGAGACTAGCACGCTAACCACTAGACTACACAAGTCCTGATGAAGAGTGGCATTTAAATCATGTTTGTGATATGACTCTTGACTTAATGGACTTCAAGTATTTCTCGAAAAGATGCGAATGTTATGTCACAAAAGTATATTTTTAAGGTATAATGGGTCATTGCTCCATATTTTTGGTAACCAAAAAATGTATATTTTTATGCAAACTTTGAGGATTAAGACCCACTCATATTGAAAAATAGTGCTATAGTATGAGAAAATGACTCTTTTTGCCCGCTTTAGTGTGTGTCTAATATTTCTCAGGCAAATAATTTCAATCTTTGAGGGATTTTTGCAAATTATAGAGATTTTATATAAAGTATATATATAAAGTATATAAAGAATATATTTCGTCTAAATATCAAGGAAAATTTTGATATAATTGAAATTTAATTTTTCATCTTCATGTTTGTCACACTATAGGCTTATCGCTCGTCATGTTCACCCATCTCCTTTTTTCCTTGATAAAGTTTGTGATTTTCCAAAAAAGAAATCTAATTTATAATTAAAATGAACACAATTTAAGCATACTTAGCGGGGCAAAAATTGATAGGAATGACTTATGAACTTGGATGATTTTATGAAGGATTAATAGTCATTTATACCAGTGAGAATGTAATGAACCTTAAATCTGTTACAGCTGATGGGACAATGATTATGGACACAAATCTGACATGGAACGAGCATTACAACAAATGCTCAGGACATTTGGCTTTTATCAATGACACCAAAAATGTACAATGGAAATCAGAAAATTCAAGACTGCCAAGTTTTAGATTTTGGATCGGTCATCGTATTTGGAGTTATGTCCCTTATGAGTCCTCTGAGTTCGGTAAGAATGAAGTTCACCATCCCTCTGACACTCCTGTAAAATTTTCCTTTAAAACTAATGTTTGCCAAAAGAAATCTAATTTATAACTAATTTATAACACAGTTTCAGCATACTTAGCAAATCAAAATTTTACAAAAATGGCCATTTAACTAATAATTTTGTAAAGGAATTATCTTAGTGATGAGAAAGCACTGTTTAACTTCTTGTACTGATTTACATTTACATTTCAGAAACAACGAACAATGATCCAGTTCACATCAGTGGTACGATTTATATAATTTTTATAGGCTGGTTTACTTTTCTGGAGACGATAACATCTTTTTTGGATGATAGCTAATTTTTTTGTTGTTGTTGAAGATAAAATTTATATTGAGGAAGCAGTTGTTTATGATATCATAACGCCTATTTTTATATATATATATATATATATATATATATATATATATATATATATATATATATATATATATATATATATATATATATATATATATATATATATATTATTTATCGAGGGAATGGTTGTATAAAGTGCAGAAAAGCCACACGTTTGATGTTGCTGACTTTTGAAAAAAATATGATCTCAAATTTTCTAAAAGTTCTTTTAAGTTTTTGAGAATCCACTTTTGATTTACACTACTTCTAATATATGGTGTAGCAAAATACCTCTGAAAATTTTCTTTTACAGTCGTTAATATTTTTGTGAGGAGTAAAGATAGGGCTTTGTAGAAGATTTGCTGGACCCGGCAATGTATCTTTGTAAGGATTTTTATGAAGTTTAGGAATCCAGTATAGGTAGGGTAGGTCGAATTGACTTTCGTTGACTGGTTGAAATGTTAAAGTATTAAAGACTGAAATGCCATTTTGAAGATCTTCATCTTTAACTATGAGATGCAGGATTAAAATCTTGTTCTTCAAAAATACAGGCATAATAATGAGTCTTACAAACAAAGACGACATTGTTAGTCTTGTCAGCTGGAATCATAACATACTGTTCATGTACTCTTTCTAACTCTTATCACTCGATTTATTGAAAACGGAAGGATAGGTGATTCGCATATGGCCTTTTCACCTTTTAATACGATTCTTTAATATATTTCTAAAACACTTCATCCATTCTGACAAAATATTCAGGTCTTCCCCCTTCATATTTCATCCATCCTCTGGCATAATCCTAGAAAGAATTCATTGCAGAACTTGAAATTCTGTGTATCCCATATATCCAACATCATTACACGCCTAACATATTTGAATCGACGTTTTCAATATCATGCTTTCATCAAATCAATGGACTTATTATGCACATCATGACTTATTGCTATTCATTAATTGAAGAATCTCTAATTGAATAATGAATTCAATAATAAAACTTCAAATATCGGTAATTATGGACGTCTTCAATTATTTTGTCTTACATTGATTTAGCACTCCATATTATGGGGTCCTTACTTATTCCAATATTTTCTTCAATAAACAAGATAATGCGGATTCATCTAATGACACAGAAAGCGCCTCCCCCAAAAAGGAGAAAAACAAATCTTCAGATGGTGAGTTACGAACTACTCTTGTGTACGAAAGCCCAGAAGGCTCATTCGAGATTCGAGTTTCGAAATACGAGATTCGAAATTCGAGATTCAGAATTCGAGTTTCGAGATTCAAGATCCAAACTAACCAATCAAAAAGCGGATTCAATAAATGATTACTCCCCTTTACTAAGTTTTTACTATCAAGAAATCATTGAATATATTTATAACAAATGTGTCATTTGCTTAGATAATAATGCAAGAAAAAATGTTATATGTTTCAAAACAAAATAAAAATGAGTTTTGGGCAACGTTTTGAAAAATATATATAAAATCTTATTTACCTCATTAAAGAAAACAATAGATACGTATATAGAATATTATATGGCCTTGTCGTAAAATTTTGTAGGTCAATATTTTATTCGATAAGCTCATTGATGAGGGAGAAAGTTATTATTGATATGAAATACTAAGGATCGTCTATACACTGCACAGTAATTCAATTAAGGATACATTTCATTACATTTAAGCGTGTATTTGTGCAGTTAGACTGATCTACTATTTGATATCGAATAAAATAAATTCCAGTCTGTATTGTATATATATAATTTTTTAATTAATTCAAGTATTCAAAGCCTTAGACCAAGATAAGTAATTGAAAACTTAATTCTTATGTATTTCTCCTATTGGGAAACAGTGGCGTATATTCCTTTCTGCTAATGTGTAGGCTATTGTGAAGTCACAGATTTCACCTAAAGCGCATCATTGCCGAATTGCGGATAGGCAAGGAGGGAGTCGCCCCTCTCAATAGAGGAGGGGGGGGGAGAGTCGTAGGACCACTTTCTGCGATCTTGGAGACATCTATCATTTTCATTTTCCCAGTGAAAATAATTATAAATCATTTAAACATATTTTTATGATACGGAAATTTAAATCTTCATGACCACTCTTAATAAAATTGAGATATATTAAAATCCTTACACAGTGCTTGGAAATTATGGAAACTTCTTTACAGATTATTCTTTACAGATTATTCTAAATATAATTTTTAAAAAGTGTTTTTGTTTGACTTCCTATTAACCCAAACATATTTCCTAATTTCTATTCGCTGTCCTAATCGTAGACTCCAGGTTGCTGTCATTTTTAATAGTCTGATATCGACTTCAAGGTAACGTTTCAATTTTAGATTTATATCAGAAGTTTTGTATGCTGTAAAAATTGGAAAGGCATAAAAGTATGGATGGCTAAAAATACTTTTATTGCATTTGATGAAAAAATATTCTAATAACTGGTAAATAAATACGATTTATGATCAACTTTCTCCATTTTTCAGCAAAATACATGTATAAATAAATATTTATTTTACATCAAGAAAATGATGTGTAGGCAACATATGGAATATATGCGCCATTGGAAAAGCACGTCCGCGATTTTTCTTTATCACTACTACGATGTCTTTCAAGATTCTCTGGGTACACTAAAAAGGTGTATCGAGGGTCCATTGTTTTGTTAAAATAATTTTTTTTTTATCATTTATATCAAATACTTTTATATCTTTTTTCTCTATGGCAATTAAATCATGTATTGGAACTTGTGTATTGATTGGTTATGTATCTTGCGAGACCCGAGCGGTTTCCTTATAAGTAATTATTGTCATCTCCCTCGGGAGATGACACATTAAGTTTGTTATCCGGAAGTGAAGTCCTAGTGTAAGCTGCCATCGATAAGCTGGTGGTCTGGCAAATGACCTGATGGTGATATGGAGATGTAAACAAAATTGAGCGTTCTGTCTTATTATTACAAAATGGTCCATCTTAAAGTAAAACTACACAGGGTTCATTAAGGGTAATAGAGGTAGATTCACTTGGGTGGTGGTGGTCTTTAAAATACATATAAACATTGTATCTAGGCTATTGTGTAAAATGATGGTCAGCGCGCGGGGATCAAAATACACAAAACGTATCAGCCAAGGCGTGGATCCAAGATTTACTGACGAAAGAAAACAGTGAAAACATTCACGTTAAATGCACATATACAATGGCAAAAACTTAACTTTTATGTGTACTTAAAATCAATCGATAATTACTGCCGTATATACATTGTATGTAAAATAAAACAGAACTTATTAAAAAAAAATAGAATTCGAAGAATTTTTTTTTTTACCTAAAAGCACAGTTTAAGCAGAAACATAAATGTCTCTGATTTAAGTAACTCAGTGCTGCAGGCATTGGAATAAAGATCATAAAGAATCATTACGAGTATTTTCTCGGATGTCTGCGCTATTCTTTTTTATTATTATTTAAATTTACCCCTGCAGAAAAGTTTTAGGAAAAACGCAATTTTCTTTACCGGCTCAGATTTTTTAAGGATTAAAAAATAAAGCAACTTATCATTATCTTTATGCAATTCTAATTTGCGTTTTTTGCAAATAGAAAAGAGTAAAAAAAATCACTCCTCGTATTCCTGAAATAAAGCCAAAATTATAAAATGTGTGTCTCATGGAACAGCCTATAAAATCGATGTTGGTAGACTGGGGTTCTTTTCATTGTGCAAATGCTTAATTTTAAATGGCAACTTTTCAATTTTATAACCTTTCTATGCATGCTATTTTCCCAGGAGCGTATACATGTATTATACATAATATAGCGTTAAAACATGAATCTACATGGGCAGCAGAAGGGTATGAGACAAGAGAGTCTCAATTTTTCCCTTGATATTCCCAGTGGCTCGATGCCCAAGTCACTTCAGAGGATACGATTAAGGAAAATAAGAAAAATCTTTGGAAATTAAACTAAGAACTAAAGTCAAAGGGAAGGCCGAGGTTTTATATCCATCTGCGTACGGAAAAATTGTTATCTACATGTAATTTTTACGAATATTTCTCAGTGGTTAGATTTTTACAGACATTGTACAAACAATATTTAAAATGAATAAAGCATATTTACAACAGGTAAAATAATACAGGCGCGTAGCATCAGGAGGGTCGGACCCTTCCACTTTTTTTCACAAACATTGAAAATATTCATTGAAAGGCACGCCCTTGCTCATCTTCCATCTTTTTTGCAGTATCGTACGTCAAATCATCCCATGGGAATGTATTATAATACAAAATATGTTTGTTGGAAAAGTTGTAATCCCCCCTTCCAAGAAATGAAAATGCTGAGTTTGGACAGACCCTTTTTCCCCTTGTCAAAGATTGTACAGATAAGTCGTAGATTTTTTTTCTGCCCCCCTTTTTTTCAAAAGCGATACTACTACCTGTAATAGCTGAAAAAATGATATAACATTCCACTGTTTATTTTGTGACATTCGTGAAGCCAAAGAGATGATATTTCAGGTTTCTGGAAAGCCAAACTTGTCGAATATATAATTATTCTGCCCATGCATCGCAAGATTGACACTGAATGTTGATAACCGACCATTTGTCTACCGTTGTAATAAAATAAACAACATACCCATATGACCCTGGGCTCGTGCCGACCCCCCCCCCCCCCCTCCTTCCCCGTATATTTTTTTTACCGAAAAACCCGTTGAACCCTTTGAAACCCGTATTACAAATTGTCATTAATCGCGAGTCACTTGTTTTATTGCACACTTAACTTTGAAAACCCGTATTAGTCACTGGTCACTTTCTAATACATTGTCACAAACTATATCCACTTTGAAACCCGTATTACTTAATTAATTATTATTAATCACTAGTAGATAATACGGTATAAATATTTTTGATATAAACCTGTTATAATATTTAAAAAGTTTTAATATAAATTTAAGCATATTTTGCCGACCAAAAACTGATTTTTTTTTTTTTGTATTTCGTTCTGATATATATAACACTCTTTCTTGCATTGTAAAATAATCAAATGACCTCTTCGGTTTGAATATATTCAACGATTTCTTGAAGGTCAAAACCTAGCAAAGGGGAGTAATTGAATCTCAAACCGCCTTTTGATTGGTTAGTTTGGATCTTGAATATCGGAACTCGAATTTCGAATCTCGTATTTCGAAACTCGAATGAGCCTTCTGCGCTTTCGTACTTGTGCGATAGAGTTTAGCATTTTCTTGATATTCTATTTGCACACAAGATTACAATTTTGAGTTTTCCAAATAACTGTAGAATTTATTTGACACCTTTCTCACCAAGATTTGTCACAACTGTTGAACAGGGAAAGCAAATTAACAATGGACATGTGTCTTTACAGTACCCAGCAATCTCAATTGGATCACAGCTGCAACTGGCCCGGTAGTGGTTTTTCTTATTATTTTGTTGGCAATTGTTTGTGTAAAGAGGTAAGGCACACAGTAATTTATAGGTGATATACCATTGCTAACATTTCTTTTCTCCTTCGCCATATCCAGAATACATTTTATACATGTATGACTTGTTTTCGTTCTCTTTACATAGGATTTTCCATTGTTTATGGTTGGAGATGATTTTTTATCCAACTTTTTTTTTAATCCCCAAGTCTTTGCAAGGGGATAAAAACACACAAATCATGGGAATTTTTTTTTTTATTACATGTTTTACACAAAGCTATATCATGTTTGACTCTGTTTTATATATGTAAATCCACTATATTTGAATTGGATTAAATTCACGCAAAAACCAGTGATGTCACAACCGTGGATACGAAAACAATATCCTATGAGCTATACTCACTGTATAAAGGAGTAAACATGTTACAAAAAAGGTGTAACACATGTCTTTTTCTGTTTTCAATTCACTTTTACTTCAAGACTTTACCTTATTAGTTTAAAATCTCAACCAGAAATTTCCTTTTCCTTTTTTTTTTTTTAAATTTTATCTTTAATAGAGACCCCCCCCCCCCCCCCCCCCATACAGACACAAATTGTATTGCCATTAAACAGTAGAAGTAAAAGGTGTAATTAAAATGAAGGCTGCTAAAAAAAAAAGAAACAAAAAGAAAAAAAAAACATGTATGATCACCATTGCAGAAGGAAAGCCAAACTAAACAGTTCCACACAGCCTAAAAATGCCAGCAGTAAGAATGATGAAGTACCCCTTCAGCCAATCAGAGGCCAGACCAATCAAGACCATGACTATGATCATCTGCATGGAAATCCAGGTACAAATCCTATGGATAATGTGTATGATGTGAGTGGAAATTGTGTTGATGGATCCAATATTAGTGATAATGTGTATAACACAACTAAACAATGTTCTGGGGATGAAATGTATGATTCTAGTGTCAATAATCCTCAGAGATCTGAGTCTGAGAATATAATAAACAATGATATGTACAGCACAATGAGCAGGCATGATGGTGGTAATTGTCCAACAGACATGATTCTGTATGACCACACCAGTTCTATTGCTCAAAATAATGACAAAACTGATATTTACAATGAAATTGACACTTGACAAAGACAGTAAATACCTTTTTTTTTATTTTAGTTTCCTAATTTTTATTTTAAAAAATACTAAGGCCATTTTATAACAATTATTCATGTAAGTGATCTGGGACAAAATATTTATATTTTTTCAATCAGTGATTTTCACTACATAATGAAATAAATTCTTGGCATATAACATAACACCCTGATAAATTCTTTTGTGATTGTACTGTTGCTTTTGTCCATACAAGAGACACATGTATTCCTAAGTCTTCATACACACACTTTGACATGTTTACTGCGATTTAGGTTTATCAATGTTTCCTATAACCTTTCTTCGTTGAGCCAGCATATGCATGTACAGTTGGGGAAAAACTGCAAGTGAAAAAGACACAAATATAGAAAAGAATGTACATATTCAAAAGTTGTAAGGACTTGCGACTGCATAAGATACACAGAACTATAGGTATTCATTGATTTTCTTTCTAATTCAACAAATATGGTCCTAAGCAGTACTTCTGCAGTTTTCTCAGGGAGGGGATGTGTGCTTTTTTGTCCAATATTACTGAATGTAATAGTTTTTTTTTTTTCAAAATAATATTATCTATGACAATATCAGTATTATCACCAGATCAAATTTAAAGGACTTCCTTGTCATACAGTATGTTTAATAGTCTTTCATTATATATACAGACTTATCAGCTTCAGTTCCTGATAAATGCATAATTTCTCTAGTGTCTAAATCTACATACTTGCACAGTGGTGTCCAAAATATTCTCATATGCTTATTTTTTCTTTGAATTGGGTCTATAAATATTACTTCTTTTTTCATGTTTTTGATCACATGTAGTTCATTCAGTTACAAGTAGTTCATGATTTGTCCTTTTTCATGCCAAAAATACTCAGAGTTCTGAGTATTATTAAAAAATCATATTTTTTTTTGTTCCTGAGAGTATTTTTCAGGTGAGTTTTAAAAACCCAGTGATACTACAGCAGATCATATAAAAACCTCCCTAAAAATCTTTTTAAGATCATTTTACATATTTCTTTGCTGTCTAATTACATTTATGTACTTACCTGGAATATACATAATCATGAAGAATATAAGGAAGTAGAAGTAATTAAAAGACATGTTGGCAGCATTAGGCAGCTGTAGATAATACAACTTCTTCTCCTCGACTTCTCTTAGACTACTGAACACAGTGATTAGTTCTCCCTGAAACAAAACAATCTTCATATAGCACTCTTTGTCAATGATTGTCAAAATGTTTATCCATGCTTTACTATGATAAAATTGACATGCAGTGTGTTGCCAAATTTACAACTTTAATGACTAATGACGTATAATGATGTCAAAAACAGGAGTGAGAATATTCATCACTCTTTTGCCAAGAAATGCCACGACACCCAGTCTTAGTTTTTTAAAGGTTTGAAACTGAAAATACCCACTATCTAATGAAGAGGTACTTGCTCCCTATTTTAAGGTCTCAACTAGAAGCAAAATAAACCAGCAATATTATTTTCATAAAGCAAATCTACTCTTCACACTACTGTAAATCACTTTTTCTTGTGAGAACTTTATTTTTGCATAATATTGAATGTTTGCTTGCGAAAATTTTATTCTCGCGCATATTTTTTCCATCAAAGTTATACATGTATAATAGGAAGATAAGCATTTTAAAAGATTTTAAAAGTTTTTCTTTATTACATAGCCATGGCTATACCTGTATATGAAGTTTTATTAAAATCAGACCAAAACTGTATAAGTAGTCTTTTGAAAGAATATCACTTAAGTTTCTAGTTTTAGTAACCATGGCAACACCATTTATTGATGTACAGAATTAAGTATCTTGGTGTATAGTCTACAAGTGTGTGTATGCAAGGCCTTTCTGAAATCTGTTGAAAATTGTACAAGAGTAGCATTTTGAAAAAAAACAAAACTTTCACAGATTAACGGAAAAACAGCTAGACAGGTATACAGACAGGTAGGTATACAGACAGATATTATACAGACAGATGGATAATGGATACTTTAACTAAATACATGTGTATAAGCTCTTCTAGTTTGCAGCCAGTGGAGTGTTTACTGTTTTCATTGCAATTTACAGCTTTAAAGGTAGCATTCAAAATCCTGCATTTTTGAATTTTTAGAAATTCCTTTCAATCTAAAAATATTTTGTGATTTTGACAGTATACAGTATACTAAGTTGTTATTGTATTGTAATTTGGTGGTATCAAAAGAAAGTTGAAAGTTGTGACTATCTTAGAATTGTCATCAAATGCAGATCAATTAAACTAGCACTGGAGAATAAGCTATTATAGTTTTATTAAACTTCAATATTAATCTGTTTTCTTCTCCTTGTTAAGTTGTACTCACTGTAACTCCTATTGGATACAAAACGATGAAAAATGTGTACCTGCAATAAATACAAGGTTAATTATTATTAGGGTAATTATTTTGGAAAGAAAATAAATACCTGAGGTCTCTAATGAAGCTGTAACTCTACTGGTTTTATAATGGTGGAAGAGAAAAAGTTGTACCTTGACTTAAACACTCTTTTAAAGATTTACAGAATTATGGATTCTTTACTTGTACTATTTAATTTGTTTCATTAATAAATCAGAAAATCTATGCCTATGAACATGCACATTTTTGGGCAAATTTCATACACTTCCTAGATTATACATGTATGTACTTACCGACACCATACTATAAAATATGGAACCCCTCCCAGCAGAGAGAAAAAGTAGAATGAATATCTGATGATTTCAGTGACTGTCCACGCTGTTACAAACAGAAGTACTCCATAGTAATTCTGAACCTGTGAACATATGACACATAAATAACAAAAAATAAAACTTACCAGGTACATGTAGAGTACATTATGTAAATACTGCATGTAGTTGAGAGTATCAATCATTGAAAATTTTCACCACAAGAAAACCATTGTCAACCGAGGAGCAGCCAAGGTTGACAATGGTTTTCGAGGGGTCAAAAATTTCAATGTTACCCTCAACTACATGTAGTATTTACTATATCATACTGAACGTTTTATAAAAACATAAATAAAGATGATGTAAGGGTGCATAGATTCCATGCAGTCAATATTTTTTTTTTACAATATCTTCTGTGGTCAAGCAATGTTGACTGTTGTTAAGTTCTATAGACGGTAATGGTGATTTTTAACAAATGTTTCTACATTAATCAAATTCAAGTAAATTACTTGAAAGTATACTATTAAGTTTTAACAGTTTCCATGAAAGTATGTCAAATAGCCATTAAAATATCTAGTATCAAAATAATGCTGAGGTTTTAATACAGACAGTACTAATATTCACTAGTAGGATCATTGCCATTTTAATGCAGTAATGTCTGCCTATCAGTGATAAGACTTCAGAAGGACAGACTGTATATAATAACCAGAGTATCACCTGTGTATAATAAACAAAGTATGTCATGTCCAGATTTATCCTCTAAACTTTCTATCAGGAATAAGTCATACAGAATACACACTATAATAGCTTTCGATCAGAATTACATGTACACACAGTAAACCCATTCAGTCAGGGATTTCCCTTAAACTGTCTTTCTGGGATAAGACTAACATAGAGCAACCTTATCCAGGACTATAAAAATGTATTAAAATAACTTATATAAGATCATCTTGTATCAATGTACAATTGTACATGTATAGCAGTGGTAATTAAGACTTACAGAGGGCACACTGTATGTAATAGCCCAAGTCAGGAAGACCCTGGAGAACACTTGGAAAGCAGTCAACACTACTCTGGATCTCACCAACCCAAGGGCACAATGAAGAATCTGTCAAAAAAAGTATGTAAATTGAATCTTTCACATGTATATTTAGTGCATTATTCTTATGTAATATAGATATTTTATAAGAATAGTTACTCTATTATAGATTAAAATCCCATTTGTACCTCAGCATATCTGAACTTGTATGGGTTCAGGGCTATAATAAGATATTTCTTTATTGTACCGTAAACTCTACTTATACTTTGCATTAAAATGAACTAATGAAAGAACAGAAGTTTTTACTTCTAAAACTGCAGCAGTTTGAAATGTATTTAGGAAAGTTGCAACTTCATCATACAATCCCACCACTGTACGTTCTGTAACCATGTGATATACCAGCTTAAACATCAAAAGAGTCCATCTACAACAAAAGTCAAATGGTTTAAAACTGGCATATTTTCATAAATTTCATACTTAATGTACATGTAATTACAAATTCTATACAGGTCTCAACTTTTTGTATTAATAAAAAAATACATGTATTGGTTTCAATATCAGCATGATCTAATATAACTTAGAGAATTATAATTGTCTAAAATTAACTAAAAAAGGTACATTTATATTGCCCCACTCCCATCAAATTTCAATAAATAAAAGTGAAATTATGCTTTAAACCAGGGTAATATTTGCAGTCTTGAAATCCTAAGTTAAATATTTGCATTGGATATGACATCAATGGCTACATTGTAGACAAATTGTTAGAAAAGAAAAGTTGAAAATTCAAAACAATTAAAGCCCTGTAAAAGAAAATAAAAAATTAATAGTGGGTGAAGCAAACTGTATGGTCAGGCCTTTCAAAATGTGCCGGTACCCGGTACTTTTACCCAGCTGAAATCATGAATGTACTGGCCAAAATATTCGTTGGAGAAAAAATTGATAACATATTTAATTAAAATCTCTTCCACAAGGTACCTCCTATTTTTTAAAAAGTACTGTGTGTTTCTAATCTTTTTGAAAGCCCTGTATGGTGCACCACTTGACAATGGAAGCTCCTAAAGTAATGCCTGGGCAAAGAGAAAATTCGGATTGGGCACATTGATCCAAATGATTTTTTTCGCAGTAACCTAGAGGCCCACAATGCATTGAGAATGTATCTCACTGCAAACTGAATTCTCGCAGTAACAACAAAAGTTCAAATAATAAAATCAACTTGATTTAATGGATCAACTTCTTTGTTTAAATTTGCACTTTTCAGACTTTGTTATGGTAATGCAACCTACATACAACGTCATGTGATGCCAGAGTCTAGACATTTCAAGTGTCTCAAGCAGTTTGGAAAAATGGATCTAAATTTAAACTGAATAGGTATCCAATAATATGCATCTGTGCTCACTTTAACGGTCCCACAAAATATTATATTCAGATCTAAAAATGAATAATATGTTAACTGTGTGGTCACTGGGGCAAGCATGGTTGTGTATTACTGATATTTATTTTTCTAAAACTAAAATCCCCCTCTTCAAACTGCACAAGACATTTGAAACATCTAGACTGGACATCACATGACGTCGTATGTTAGCTGCATTTCCATAACGAAGTCTGAAAAGTGCAAATTTTTAACAGAACATTTTACCTTCTATCTATATAAGCAATGTCCATTTAATCAAAGTGAATTTTTTTTGGTGAACTTTTAATTATTGTTACCACAAGATGAAGTTAGCAGTGAGGTGCTTTTGTGATGCATTGTAGGTCTCGAGGTAATGAAAAATAATCATTTGGATCAATGTGTACAGTCCAAATTTCTCTTCACCCAGGTGTTGTTGTAAGACCTTACGGTGGGAGGGGCGCTTTGCGCCGCTGGCTGCACTCACTATTATTGCAATAAGGCCTAGGAAAAAACTATGTTTGTTTCAGCTTTCCTGACCGACCTTAATTTATAGTGCCCACCCTAACTTTTTTTTAATGCTTTTGTCCCATGCAACATGTGCAAGAGCAACTTGGGTGATAAGTCGCCAACTTCACAAGCTTTTCAAGACAGAGAGAAGTTTCAGTCGCCTTTCTACTTTCTTTTACCATCATAAAATCATCTTCCATAAATCAATTTTAGAGAAGAGTGTAATAAATACTCCCCCATAAAGTTGTTTAGTCAGCAAATCTCGGCAGGAATCATTATGGGATCATATCTAAATTAGCAGAGCTCCAGATAAGGTGCATATGTGCAGAAATATGCATTGAATTTTACAAAATATGCATTGAAAATTAAAACTGGGCATACAGTTACACATTAGCAATCGTAAATAAGCATTACACTACGAAAGACTGCGTATGATGGATTGAATAATACAAGTACGACTTAGCTTATGAAATGAATTGAGGTTAGCTCAATGTTTTATTTTTTTTTCTTCAAAACGAAATATTAATTTAAAAACATTTTAATAACCAGGAATATTCTAGTTATGGCGACGACGATTTCCAGTTCAGGAGAAAGAATTCAATGATTTAGATTAAAATCGATTTCTTTATATAGGAAGACTACGCACTAGGCATAGTTACTTTTAAGCACACAAAAGCTTGTGTCGTCTATGTAGGACGATATCAATTGTAACAAGTGTAATACATAAGTAAGAGTAAACAATGTTACCTAGAGAACAATGGGGGAAAAAAAAAGAGTCCTAGTTGGAGAAAAAAGTTTATACTGCAATGTAATATCAAAGAGTACATGATGTGTAAAAAAGCAGTGAAGACCATATTAAAACCATATCGAAAAAACAAGCTCTGTTTAAATTCAAGACCAATTAAATAAACTACTGTAGAGAGATATTACGCATAAGATGTATTTGAATTTAACAATTTAGAGTTCTCTTAGATTCTATAGAGTTCCCTATGGTTCTCTGTTTAGTAGGACGGTTACACATGGTTTGTACATAACATTTTTTATTATGGGTTCATTCACAATTTCTGATTTCTCTCGTTATTTTTTTCTCAGTTTACTCTTGCTTAAAATGCTTAAATGGAGAAAAAAAAATTTATGTGCCTATGCATGGTTCAAAATTCACTATATACAACTCGCAAAATGCGAGTTAGAATTCCCAAATTGCAAGTTAAAAATTAGATAACTCGCAAAAAATTGCAAGTTGATTTTTTTGCATTGAAACTGTAGCAAAATTATATAATATGACAGAACACAATGCTTTTGATTTAAATCAGTAATTTAAATAAAAGTCACACTGTAGTTGTATTTTGTGTATTGTACAGTAGTTACTTTTTCCTTAAGTTACATGTATTTAATTTATATAAATTTAACTTTATATGAAAATTGCGAGTAGTCTTATAAAATTGCGAGTTCACTTTCTTGGTACTCGCAAATATTTGCAAGTTGTAATTTTTGGGAGTTTCTAACCCTGCCTGTGTTTACTTTAACTACTGTATGATCTTCCTTGTCAAAAAAAAAAGTTTCTCAGGTTTAGCAAGAATCTTGTTGGCATTTTTAAAATTTTATTTAAATAAATGCAGGAACTGTACGTCCTTTGTAGTTTTTTCTTTCCTCTTTTAAATTACCTGTATTTCGATAACAAGCTCAAAATTACAATAGATGCCAAAATATTAAAATATTTACAAAATACTTTTAAATCAATGTGCTGATCGAATATCAAAATCTACATCGATTTGAAAATCAGGGAGTAGATACACTTTGGGCTAAAAAATATTATCTGGAGCTCTGAATTAGTGATGCAACACAACTAGTAAATGACCAGCGATGTTTTGTAATTAGTTATTAAAGTACTTTATGTAATTTAAGACACTTAAATGAAATACTTATCATGAAAACCATTAGTTATCATGGAAGTTATCAATAAGCTACTGTAACTGTGCACTTTGTATATATAAACATGCATTATGGATATAAATAGACAGGTTACACTCATAACCCTAAAGGCACGAAAAATGTCATCCAACATTTTATATTGTTTATTCTCTCAATAACTAAGCCTAATCAAGACAATATTTTTATTCATTGCTTTTATTTAATGTTACTAGATAAAGTACACATAAACATTTAAGACCCCCTCCCCAATATGTCCACTAAATTTGTTAAACCAATCATGAATATCATAAAACTATCCAATAGTTTGAAATATTGATTTTTCTCTATGTAGATTTGAATAATAGTTTAGTTACAAAATTTAAATTCATTTCATATTTAGACATATAATATAAAACTTGGTTTTTTAAAGTGTTAAAAAAAATTGAAGAGGGGGTGTCAGACTTTAATCATAGAAACCTCCCTGATTTTTAAAACTTCTCCCTAATTTGTTGTGAGGGAGAAGTGAAGTCTCCCTAAAGTATGGGTCTAGGTGGTCCCTGTCATGTATGAAAATTTCTGCTATAAATTTAAGTCATAAAAATCCTTGAAAGTACCATTTCTTTTGTCATTAGTGTTACTTCTATAGATGTTTTGATTAAAGAAGTAAGTAAAAAAAAATTTTAAAAAAAATTGCCTACCTATCTACCCTAGTTCTTTTCAGTCTGAAATGCGGAAACAAACATACTTTCTTCTAGGCCTAAATGCAATTATGCCCACCATATCAATAAAGTAGGAATGGTTCATTTTTAACAGGATTTCAGAGGGATTTAATAATCAACTAGATCAAAAGAGTGATTGAAACTGAAAGTAAACTTCTCAAAAGTTAAACCGCAGGATTAAAAATAGAATTTTTATCCAACTAGACATAAATACTTTTTCTTTTTTTTTTTTAATTTATTAATCAAGAAGCTCGGCGATAATGTACAACTTAAGTATTGTTTTTAAGAAGTTTTGCAGAAATTTCACATTGAAAATCGACTGAGCTGTATTATAACAGAACATTGTGCAAAGAATATATGTTCGCTAAAATTCCCCGATGCCTATACAAATGCGCCTTTGTTTTATTTTAATAAAAATTGGATTAGAATAAAAAAAAGACCACCATTTGGTGGGTAATTTTGTTTTCGTAATGGTGATTGACCGCCAAACGGGGACTAAACCGTTTCAGTGTTTGCAGGTCCAGCACAATACCCTGATAAAGGTACATAGCTTGATAAAGCTATATAACTTTATCAAGGTATTACAAATACCTTGATCAAGGTATTTTATGAAATGAAAATACAAAAAAAAGTCTAAAAAAAATAAATACTGAAAGTCGAGTTTTGAGTTGTTGTCAGTAAATTCACTCATGCATGTAAAGAACTCAAACACAAAGAAATCAGTATAAAATCATGTCATGTGAGGAGACGTTCTTTTATGCTGTCTTTTTGATACCTGAGTACTTTTCATGCACGAGTGAACATATTGACCACAACTCATAATTCGACTTTTAACAGGTCTAGGAAAATCACTATATTTAGCTATATAGCTAGATCTACCTATATAGCTTTATTTAC